TTTGTTTCGGGTTTTTGTTTTTGTTGTTTTTTTTTATTTGTTAATTTTAATAGCTTTAGAATTGAACATGGGATCTTACAGTGCAGGCATTGCAAGTGTGTGCCAGTTTTTCCAGTTCTGGCTGCTATTTTTTTAATTGAAATTATATAGCAAACTGAACTTGAACTCGGCCCCTGGGATTTTTATTTTCTGCATTTCTAACTCTAAGCACGCTATGTAACTTCTGAATCTTTCTTCATTTGCAAATAGAAACAAGAATAATTCTGTTTTACGTGTTGTGATAAATGAAGCAGTGGATGTAAAGCTATTTAGCATAATGATTTTAACTAACAGTCTCTTGGTGAGAGCAATGATTGCTAACTTTATGTATCGCATTCTTGAATGTGTAGATAATAAAAAGCGTTTGTGGCCAAAATCCATGCACTGACATATCTGACATATTTTAGACTACAGATATGGGTGGAGCCCTATTATGTGGCTTGGTTTCTCCTTGTTCTTGGGTGGAACTTTGTTACCTGCAGTTTATGGGCATATAAAGAATGAGGGTACAGATTCAAAAGGGAACTTCTCAGTAAAGTTGCCAGTCTTGCAATTCACAGCAGTCATCCCACATCAGCCTACTCAAAGTGCCAATCTTGTATCTGTAAATCAGTGGATGAAACCATAGGCTTCCATATCTAAGTAGATTAGGGGTTGCCTCTCAACATATTGTTAGAGGCTGTTAGACTTGAGCACCTATATGTATAAAATATGAGGTTTTGTGTGTGTGTGTGTGTCTGTAGCCTTGCCTAACCTTTAAGTAAGATGACCCTATATAATGGAGTGTGCACACGTGTGTGTATGTGTGTGTGTATTTTTTTCTGGTGATTGAAGTATACAGTAGTTTAGAGATTATGCTTATCTTGGTCATTGCAGTGTTATACTCTGTCTTTTGTCGTGCTTGATGTGTTTAGTAGGGAATCTGTTAATGAGTAACAACCTTATTGGCAGCCAAATATGGCATGTAAATATAAAGTAGTGAATTGTTACTGGCAAAGATATTGTAACCGTATAAACAAGATATATGGCCTGAGGAGTATGGGTGGGTAAAAGCAAGTTTATAGCATACTCTGATAACTATGAACTTGAATTCTTTGGTTAGAAATGAGACGTGTGCCTACAGTCCCAGTACTTGGAGCTTGAGCCACACTTAGGGCCAGTTTGGACTACATAATGAGGCCATTTCTCAACATCAAAGAAACCAGCAAAAATTACATGTTTTGGTATAGCAGTTTGACTTCTGAAACAAAATTATTTCTGTTAAAAATAATCCTAAATAGAAGTATTTATTGTGAGATTAAACCCTAAGGGGTAATAAGTAAATATAGTGTAATTTTGAGGGGAATGCTTTGTTAGGCATTATTAGTATTGCTGACTATGAAGCATTTATGATAATAAAAAATGATTAAGTGAAGGGAAATGATTCTGATACCCATGATGCACTTCTCAATTCTGTGATAACCTACATGAAACTTTGTTCATTGTTACAGACCCAAGTATGTGACTTGCAGACAGCGATTTGCCATTCCTACTTTTTTATCATTCCTCAAGACATGTTACTATAAGTACATTTTAGTTAATGTTAATGTGTTAACTTTTCTGTGCCTGTGATAAAATACTATACCTCCCAACATACATGAAAGTGTTTATTTTGTATTAGTCTATCATGATGATGAGGCATGGAGGAACAAGAAGCTGAGATCATATTTTCAAGAGCAACCTGGCATTTGCTTTTGAGATAGATTCTCAAAGTCCTCCTGCAGTAATGGACTTCCTCTAGCAAGGCTCCACTTCCTAAAAGTTCTATAACCTCCCCAAACAGTACCACCAGTCAGGGACCAAATGTTCAAATATGTGAACCTGTGGGACATTTCTCATTTAGATTCCCACATTCCATTCTCTGTCCCCATATGCTCATGTCTGTGTCATAATTAAAAACACCTTTACTCCAACTCCACAGGTCCTCATCGTCTTTCTTAGTCTCAACAGTTTACAAGCCCCAAGTCTTTTCTCAGACTTAGGTGGCTTAGCCCTTCTAGCTTTGCTTTGTCCGTAACAAGTTAAATGTTTATGTTGGGCCAGGCCAAATTCAAGTCTTGGCTTTGAAAAGCTTCCTTTCTGATAAATGTGAAGAAATATATGAAAAACATTGTAATGTATATAGAATATATAGCATAACTAATGAAGTGATGAATATCATATGATTGGCTATCAAAATGGGTGTATGTGAAGGTATGGCAGGAGGAAAGAGTAATCAGAGTAGAATGGGTAATCACAGGGACCAGGGAAGACTACCCTCCTGAATACTCAGAGATGAGAGTTAGGAACTTGTCTGCTTTGAAGAATTTGACCGGTGTTGTATTTAGGTTTAGAAGGGTGAAGATAGGGAGTTTGCTAATTTAAATAGTACCATAATTATTGAAGGCAAATTAAAATGGAAGCCTTGGATTATGTAACTTTGAGCCAACACACTCATTAACTTAATGACATCAACTCCTTAGTCTTCTTACCATAAAATAACAATGACTATCTATAGGATTGTTTTTCTGAAGATCAAATGAAAGTATTTATGGAAACACATAGAAAACTAGGCATAGTAAAGCCTTATAATCCCAACATTGAAAATGTGAGACAGAAGGATAAAGACTTTGAGGGAAGTTTGGGCTATCTCCTGAAAACCTATTTAAAAAATCCATGAAAGCATATACAGTGATGGCTGCTGCTGTCAACTGATGTAGTAAGATTTACATAGCAGGAGAACCTGGGTTTACTTAGCATTTACAGCTAGGGTCCTTCTTTTGTCTTTGACCCTGTGTGCCCGCCCAAGGAGTCCCCATAACTTGCAGTTCTGATGCTCTGCTCTGTGTCCTGAGTGTTTGTTATTGTAGTCTATACTACTACAAACTCGCAACCAGAGTTTCTGAAGGCAGTGAAGATTAGGTGTACTAGAGATGAAGAAATAAGAGCCAGATTGAGATTGTTTTAAACAAGGAGAAACTGATTTACCTCAGTAAATAGGAGTACATAATCTGTGACTAAGTTTTAGAATTAATGGATAGATGTGCTAATGTCTGCCTGCCAAAAGTGCTGGACAGCGTGCGATAGACTAGGTAAATGCAGATTCAATAAGCAGAGAGAAATTAAAAACTAAAAGCAAAGAGAATTAGGAGTTAAGTTTTACAAAGCCAGATGAAGATATGCATACTAGGAAATAAATTGGATATGTTGAGTTTCAGAAGAGTTTTTTTTTTTTTAGAAGGATTTATATTCAATCTTGGGTCAGGTTTGAGAGTTGGTAATCAGCAATATTAGAATCTACATACAGCCATAGGAGTAGGCCACATTCTAGTCTAGCCTGGAAGGAGGCCTGATATTTCAAGTAGACATTGGTGACCCACATTATTATCTGCCTCATACTGTTCTCTTACATTGGTGGGTTTTTTTTTTTTTTTGCCTTTCCTGTAGTCATAACATCTTTCTGATGTGGTTGTACTTACTGTATTATCTCTTGCTGAGTAAAAACTTACCATAAACCTGTTTATTTGAAGCAACATAAATATTGTATCTAGGGATTGTATCTTGTAGGTTGATCAGCTGGGAAAAGCTCTCTTCAGAGTCAAGTAGTGTCAATTCAATTCACTGAGAATTGTCAGACTGAAGTTCCTGGCTTCCTGCTGTTTGTTAGCAAGCGGCCATTTTTTTTTAAGGTGTAGCTCTCTATATGGCCATTTGCTAAGCAAGGTTGATAAGGAAGTCAACTGTAAGATGGAAGGTTTAATTTTAATAACCATACACCTAATCCTGTCACTTTTTCTTATACTGTATTTATTAAAACCATAGGCTTTGCTTGCATCTTGAGGCAGTGGAAGGGTAGGTGTTGACTAATGAAAACCAGGACGTGGGGGTCCCAGAGATAACAACAGATGCTTATTTTATGGAGCTTGCCTGCTATTTTTATTCTTGTGTGCTTATGTGTGGATGTGGGTATGTGTTTGCCACAGTTCATGTGGTGGGAATCACAGGATAATTTGAGGGATCTGGTTCTCTTCCGCCATCGATCAACAGGCTTGGCAGCAAGTGGTCTATGTAACTCTGGAGCCATCTAGCCCAAACTAGGTACTGAAATGGTTCAATAATATTTATAAGTGTCTTATTTAAGTAATGAGGGTACATAAAGAGATGGGTCCATTAGAAGTTTGTACTACTTCTACAGAGTTGGTTCCCAGCACCCATTTTGAGTGGCTCACTGCTGCCATACCTACAATTGCAGCTTTAGTGGGATCCCAGTGCCTTTAGCCTTAGTGGTCACTTGCCTTTACATGCACGTACACAAGTGTGTGAGCACTCATACACAAATGCATCTTAAATAATTAAAATCTTTAAAAAGTTATGGAGTATTCCCAACCTAAAACCATCTGATTCTACAGCCTGGACTCCTCCTTGCAGTTGTTGCTCTGACTTTTTTTTTTAATAATATTTTTATGGTTTATTTAACTTTGTTTTATGTGCATTGGTATGAAGGTGTCAGATCCCCTGGAACTAGATCTTCAGATAATTGTGAGCTGCCATGTGGGTGCTGGGAATTGAACCCAGGTTCTCTGGAAGAGCAGTCAGTGCTCTTAACCACTGAGCATCTCTCCAGCCCCTCTGACTCTGTCTTTGGTGAACCCCAACATGATCTTGAATGATTCCTGATCCTCCTCCTGTCACCATGCCTGTCTGATCATTATATTTAAGGTGTGAAAGATGGCTGTAGAAATAGCTATTGTTTGTCTTTATGGGTCTGTATCCTAGTTGTGCTATGCATTCAGTGAATACGCAGGTGAGAAAATGTACCGAGGTACTGGACCAGGTAGAAAAGTACTGTAATTGGCAGCGTTAGAGGAAGAGAACGCATAATTGCATGTTGTTTCGTCATTGAATTATTTCTCTATAGTGACTCTGAAATTTGTCCTTTCCAGTTCTCTGAGGTTCACCAGTAGTGCCACTCAGTTGCCAATATCAAGCAAGCCCATATAAACCGTTTGTACTCTTTTAAGAAAGGCAATAATATTCTTCACGGAACCAGGGTAAGTCACGTACCTTCAGAAATGCAGTTTTGATCCACTCACTCTTGCCCATGAACTCCACTGATATTTATTATAGGTGCTTGGGATTTGAATTCAGGTCCTGTTGCTTAAGCTCAAAGTGTCTTTACCTGATGAGCCATCTTCCTAGCCTAGTAATGGCTAATTCTAGTTTTTATTTATACACTGAAATAGGAAAAAGGATGAGCAGTGCCTTTGGGGGGTTAAGTGTTAATTTGTTTTGAGATCAGAATCACTGCTTCCTAGGTTGGTCTGGAACTTAATATGTATCGGAGGCTGGCTTTGAATACAAAGCCATCCTTTTGCCTTAACCTCCTGATTGCTGGGATTACAAGTATATAACCCCCACTCTATACACACACACACACACACACACACACACACACACACACACACACAGACACATACACATTTTGTATTATTTTAATCCTCAATAATGGATTAAACCTAGATCTTTTTGCATACAAGTCAATTACTCTGTTGAACTACACCTCTAGGCACCCAAAATTTTTATTCTGTGGTTATTTTAGTCTAGTTGTTAGGATTCGGCGCTCACACCGCCGCGGCCTGGGTTCGATTCCCGGTCAGGGAACCAACAAAAAGAAAAAAAATATGAGTTGATTGCGTTATCCAGTTCACTTCTGAAAATCAACCTACATTTTAAATTTTTTGTGTGTTCTGTTGCGGTGATGAAGGTATTTAACTTACTCTTGAATTACCCACTTTATTTTTTCCATTTAGGAAGTGCACCAGAGTGTGAGGTACGGCTCACAGATTCCAGAAAGATCATCATGAAGTTATATGTGTTTCTGGTTAACACTGGGACCACTCTAACATTTGACACTGAGCTAACTGTGCAAACGTGAGTTGTGTTTCACTTTTCTCTGGTTTTTCATCCCAAATTTATACCGTATTTTAAGAAAATATCCTATTGTGGTGTAGGGACGGCATAGTCAATAAGAACGCCTACCTTGCAAGCACAACATGACTTTAATGCCCAGAGCCCACATAGGAAGGCCAGTTGTCACGGTGTGTGGTTGTTATCACAGTTTTGGAAGGCCCCTGGGACTCACTGGTTAGACAGTCTAGCCTAATGCAAGAGAGTGAGAGATGCTGTTTCCAAGAAGGTAAATCATCTTCCTGTGGATAGCATGAAGTTGTGACTTCTGTGCATGTGCATATATACCACACACATGTGCATATACATACAAACATTGAAAAGAAACCTCTTTCTAAAACAGCTAGAGAGTTGGCTTAGTGACCAAGAGCACGTGTTCTTGAAGAGAACAGTTTCAGTCTCAGCACGCACAGCTACAGACCCAGTTATGGGATTCCAGTGGTCTCTTCTGACCGCTACAGGCAACAGGCACATGTATAATGCCCAGTACACGCAAATACACGCACAGAAAAGAAAAAAACTTTTTTGTAACCACTCTATATTGAAAGTTACCAACTGGATGTGGTGAACACACTTTTTGCCCCAGCAGTTGAAATGATAGGCTCAGATTTCTTAAATTGTGCTTGTGTCATTTTCATGACTATATTAGTAGTTATAATGAAGAACCGGCAATTCCAAACTGAACGTTTATTAGAGCAATATGCATCACTTTGTAGTTTTCAGTAATTTGTGTGTTTTAAAAACTTTGTGTTGTGCCAGGCGGTAGTGTCACATGCCATCAATCCCAACATTTGGGAGGCAATGAGACCAACCTGGTTTACAGAGAGAGGTCCTGGACAGGCTCCAAAGCTACACAGGGAAACCCTGTCTAAAAAAAAGCAAAAAAAAAAAAAAAAAAACCAAACTCCCAAACTTTGTGTTGCATTTTATTTCTTACTTTCTTACTGTATGTATTTATGTGTATACATGCATGTGCCAGTGAGTTTGTTTGGCTTATTAATAAGAGAATAAAACAAATGGAATTTATAAATTAATGCAGCTCATTTTTAATCATTTTCTGCTTTGATTAAGATGTCAAAATTTGAATGTTCTCTTAAGCTTATATAGAAAGGAGAAACAAGTAGTACACACCATTTTCAAGGCTACTTTCTTCATAGTAATGATATGATAGCATTACAGAATAAGCTAATCTCATATTGAATTTATTACCAGTAACTTGAATCATACTTATTTTAAAGACAGCAGTGAGATGACTGGAGAGATGGCTCAGCACTTAAGAGCACTGCTGCTCTTGCAGAGGAATTAGGATCTGTTTGAACATGGTGACTCATAACCACCTGTAACTGTAGTTCCAGGGTATCTGGTGCTGTCTTCTGACCTCTGTGAACAAGAGACACACAAGTGGTGCACAGCTATCTGAGGGAAAAGCACATACACACAAACTAAAGAGGGTCTTTTGTTTTTGTTTGTCGTTAATGGTACTAAGGTTGAGGAACGGCCTCACATAGTTCTCTCCCTGAGGATCCATAGTGAGTTAGTGAGTTACTGGAAGCAGAGATTTTCTTTAGTAATGGATGCACTGGTAAGTTGCCTAAACTCTTGTACACAATCCCTCACCCATGCTCTTCACGTAAACCTAATTCTAGAAATAAAAAGTAAGCGTGGCAGTAGGAAAAAGATGGGAAGTGGCTGGAAAGAGGAAGGAGGAGACTAATGAGAATGGGAGAGAAAAGGAGAAAATATGAGAATCTGCAAAAGTGTCATAATGAAACACATTATGTATAATTAACGCGCTAATAAAAAGCTTTTTTAAAATGTCACTAAGGGAGCTTAGTGGGTGAAGGACGTTTCTGCTGTGTAAACAAGAGGACCTGAGTTTGGATTCCCAATGCCCATGTAAAAAACCTGATGTTTCAGTGTTTCCTGTAACCCAGCCCTTTGGGGGTAAAGGGAAAGCAGGCAGAGATAGATGAATCCCTAGGGTGTGCTGTACACCCAGTCTAGTCAAAACAGTGAACTTTTAGGTTCAGTGGAGGATAACCCACACCATCAACCCTTCATGTCCACATTCAGGCACAGGCGAACATACCAAAATGTACACCAAGTACACATATGTACAAATGCCACTAAATGGTTATTTTATGATTTTTATTTTGTTTCATACATGGTGCATGCTTATGTACATATGAGTATGTGTATAGATGTATAGAAACTAGATATAGATAGATGTCTGATGTCTTGATTTGTCACCCCTTGATGAGGGCTGTCATCTGGGGCTTTCTGATCTGTCTAGACTGGCTAGCCAGTGTATCCAGGCATCTGCCTGTCTCCTCCCTACCCTAGTCTTGGTTATAGACATGGGCCATCACTTACTCGCCTTTTTTATATGATTTCTGCAGATTCAAACACTGTTCCTTTTGCTTGTGCAATAGGCATGGAATTTTACCCACAGAGCTATCTTCTCTGGCCTTATTTATTTTTTAAATACATACATTTTTCATCAATATAGTTTTATTTCTCTAGGGATGGCTTTTCTCATTATTTAAGCCCAGGCTGGTCTTGAACTTGCTCTTCCTTCTGGGATTACAGATTACACATGTGGCTATGGATTATTATGAATTTTTCTGAAAGGAAGGAGTTTTCACTTGGTTTAGACTTAATGTTTTTCTAGAGTGTATTGTGAAAAACACAAATTATCGGTTCTGAGGCAGTCGACCAAACTAGATGTCACATGTATGTCCATTTATATCTTTGACAATTATATAAAAACCCAGAAAAGTAATCATAAGTGCTGCCTGTGTTTTATGGGTTCACTTTTAGATGTGACCCAGTAGGCATTCAATTCACTGACAGTCAGTTGATTGTGGTATCTAATTAAAAAATCTGAAACTTGCTACCTTTTTTTTTATTTTTGAGATAAATATTAGAATGAAATTCAGTAGCATATTATGGTATGTGTAAGTGTTTTAATGAAGTGCTGCTTTTATAAAGGCACTAGGCATATGTAAATAACTGGATTTTGTTTTTCTAAGTGTGGCTGACCTTAAGCATGCCATTCAAAGCAAATACAAGATTGCTATTCAGCACCAGGTGCTAGTGGTCAATGGAGGAGAGTGCATGGCTGCAGATCGAAGAGTGTGTACCTACAGTGCTGGAACGGTAGGTGTCTAAACTGTACATTTTGCCTTCTCAAAAGATGGGGAGCAGTGTGCAAGATCATCATTTATAGCATTCCTATCATTTCTGTATTTTTAAATTACAGGACACAAATCCAATTTTTCTCTTTAATAAAGAAATGATCTTATGTGACCGTGCACCTGCTATTCCTAAAACTACCTTTTCAACAGAAAATGACATGGAAATAAAAGTTGAGGAGTCTCTTATGATGCCTGCAGTTTTCCACACTGTTGCTTCAAGGACACAACTTGCAGTGGTAAGATCTAAACACCTCTTTTTAATTAATTGCTTCGAAAAGCATTCAAGTCTAGTTAGCAGAGAAGTCAGAATTACATAGATAGCATTAAAAAATACCCAACTTACATTTTTTATGTTCTGTTTTAGTGTGTGTGTATGTGTGTCTGAGTTTGTGTGCATGTGTGCATGATCAAGTGTGAAAGCCACAGAGGTCAGAAAACATCTAGTGATAGTAGGTTCTTTTTCCAACGTATTTTCCTGGGATTAACTCAGCTACTTGGCAGTAAGCATCCTTCTGATAATTGTTTCACAGGCCTCTTCTTAAAGTCAGGCTTCTTTCTAACTTACACAGGAACCTTCACTCGTCTGGCATGCATACATATCTATAATTCAAATTAATAAAAATAAATCTTTGAAAGTTAATCAATTATATTTTATAATTAATATACCTAGTTTTAAAATTTTAGTTCTCCACATTACTAGATAGTGTGAGAAGGTTGTCTTAAACACGACTTGACCAGCATCTCACCAAAACGGAGGTGGTCAGATAATTACTTTAGAACATTCTTTAGTTGATTAGGTACCCATGTTAGAATAGACAAAAAACTCAGGTAACTTTTAAACAGTTCTTTTTCCTTATCAGAAAAGGAACCACAGTCCTTTTTTATCTATATTATTTACCAATACTTTCAATCCCCATATATTGTTGACAATTATTTGATTTTCCTGTTTTGTTATAGTATTTCTTTTTTTTAAGATAGGGTCTATATGTGTAACTTCTGCTAGCCTCAAACTGTCAATCCTCCTGTCTTAGCTTTCAGAGTCCTAAAATTACAACAGGCATACCCCATGCCTTGTTTTTTCTTATAGTTTACTATTACTTAACTGTAGTGCCATTGACTCTATGCTGTCAAGAGGTTGCTATGTTTTTCTTTGAGATAAAGAATGTATCTTAGAACATGTGAAGTAATAGTTTATATTGTAATTTTTAGAAGGTAAACATTTAGTAAAGTTTCAGTGTTGGTTAATAAAACTTAGGACTGAACGGAAGGTTCCTGTGGCAGGGAAACAGATGAGAATTCACACATTCCAATCAAAGTGGCAACCTGAAGCAGAAGGGAGTATGAGCTGTGTAGCCTAATAGTGAGCATCAGGCTTTTTTTTTTTTTGGCGTGGGGGTAACATTTTGATATTTGTCTATTCATTAGTCATGAATTTTAAAAGATTTTTTTCCTTGTACACAAACATTCAGATTTTGTGATTGACTGATAACAGGAAGTGACCTTACTCAGAACTTGATATTACTTGATTCGGGCTGAGGTCAGGCCCACTTGATGGTGGTGTCATCTTCTTGCATAAACCTTTTGGTCTCCTAAGAAAATGTAATATTGAATATTTAATATATTTTAACTGATTAAAGGGAAAGGTGATAAAATGTAAATTAACAAAAGCAAGATAAAGGTATTATACAAGGAAAACGTATGGCAGGATTATACTCGGGCATTAAGAATAATGCTGTCATGAAATTGGTCCTAATACCTTCCCCAGCTTTGCCAGATCACCCTTGTCTACCAAGATAACCTGTGTGAAGGCAATAGCAGTGCAAAAACTCACAACTAAACTGGGTTAAATGTGCACTGCTAAGTTTTCTGCACATAAATATAGCAAACTTTAAAAAAAAAGAATAATGAGCCGGGCGGTGGTGGCGCACGCCTTTAATCCCAGCACTCGGGAGGCAGAGACAGGCGGATCTCTGTGAGTTCGAGACCAGCCTGGTCTACAAAGGGAGTTCCAGGACAGGCTCCAAAGCTACAGAGAAACCCTGTCTCGAAAAACCAAAAAAAAAAAAAAAAAGAATAATGTTGTATATCAGGAGAGATGATTTTTATTATAGATGAAAAAACATTAAAAATTTAATAGTTGAAATGAGTGAGGAACATTGGTATTGAGATTCAAGTGAATCAAAATGCCAGTCCTTGTATTGTTTTATAGGCAGTTTGGAAATTACCTGGTTATTTAGGGCCTTGTGTACTTTAAGTAAAGGGGGAAATTTTCAGTTGCTTTTAAAGTCTTTTTAAAGATTTAGACATCTTAGCTGCTTAAATAACTTACCTTTGTTTAAAGGAAATTGGTCTGCTGATTTCTTTCTTATAGAACTGAGTTTTTCTATACTCCATGAATATTTTTTGTGCTTTTGTATTTTCTCATTTATCATTTTCATATATGTACACACACACACATACACACACACACACACACACACACCTCAGCTAAGAGTGAATGTCATGGGTCTCCTGATCGACTGAAACATACTTTCTGCATTTGGCATAGTAGTATTAGGTTCACCTCTAGATCCTGTGAGTTTTAACCGTGGATTATTGACCAGATTTAAGATACCAGGAATGCGTGTGTTTCCTCCTGTAGAACAGACCTTAAATCAGAAAGAAGTTGATTATCCCAATAACATTTTGCACCTATGGGTATATCGTCAACATTCTTACCCAGTCATCATTGCAGTTCAAGGAGTTTACAACTGGGTAAGAATAGTGATGACTCCCCTACCCCCACGCCCACACACTGTAACGGCGTAAATGAATGCAGACAGAAATTGTAATAAATATATACAGCTTTAATTGGGAAATAGACTTACAGAACCACAGGTTCCAGCGCGCCCGCAATCTTTATAAGTAAAAAATATCCTCGGAGGACCCCGCCCAACAAGTAAGGTGATTGGCTCCCACAACACACCAGTTGCTTAAATAGCAATTGCCAGTACCGCTGAGAGCCAGCTGACCGGGAAGAAGGCTCCCGATCAGTGCCAGCTTCTTTTTTCTTCCTGTGGTGAATGTGTGTGCTGTCTTCAGCAGTGGGGTCCTAGGGTCCTACCACAAATTCTGATGGAAAACAAGAATGACAGATAGCCTGTATTTGGGGGGATGGAGTGGGATCCTCTGGCACACCCCTCCCCTTCCATCTTTATATTCTATATACAGTGCTGGGTTTGTTTCCTAGTATTAACTGTCTGCATGCTTCATTTCTGTCACCTCCGCTGAGTCCATGCCGAGTGTGTCAGTCTAATTACCTGTGTGTTCTTCATACTTATCCACCTATTTTATATTATAGGTATGTACCACCATGCTGACCCACAGTACAATCTGATTCCTTTTTTTGTTAGCATTTTCTGAGTCTTTAGACTTGTGGCCCTCTCTTTCCTTTTTCTGTAGACTGTTTGTTGCTAACCAGTTTTATTTACATTTTCTATTCTTTTCCACGTTATTTTTTTCCAGCGTTTGGAATTTTCATTCCCAATTTATGTATTTTCTTTGAACCTTCATAAGTGACCCGAGCTTCTAAAAGTCTTTACTTGTCTTCCCCCCGACTTTTTCTTTTTTAAAGTGTCTAAGACAGAGTGATTTATTTTCTACAGGTCCAGATTTTTTTGTGTCAGGGAATTTCTCTAAACAAGAGAAATCTCTCACATCGGTTTTTATCAGTTTACAGTTGATACTTCATTCTTTGTAACTAACTTCCAGTCATCTGTTCTTAAAAGTCATTTGACTCTTTTTTTTTAAAAGATTTATTTATTTATTATGTATAGATATACAGTATTCTTGGTATTCTGTCTGCAGGCCAGAAGAGGGCACCAGATCTCATTACACATGGTTGTGAGTCACCATGTGGTTGCTGGGAATTGAACTCAGGACCTCTGGAAGAGTAGGCAGTGCTCTTAACCACTGAGCCATCTCTCCAGCCCCTCATTTAACTCTTAGGGCTGCAGAATGGTTCAGATGGTAAGAATACTTGCTGGACTAGTATGACGACTTGAGTCCCCAACACTTATATAGAAATCTGGGAATAATTGTATGTGCTAATCCCAGTAATTGGGGGTCAGTAGATAGAATTGTCACTAGGGCTTGCTGGCTACCAGCTCAGCTCCAGGCTCAGACTTTGTATCAAAGGAATAAAATGTAAGTGATAGGACACCTCATTCTCTTTAGGCTTCCATGCTTATACTATTGCACAGGTAACTTATACATATATACCACAGCGTGTGCGTGAGTGTGTGTGCGCACAGACACAATTATATTTTGAGGACTCTGTGACAGTTTCAACATGTGTTTGTGTTACTCTAGAATTTGATAATGCATTTTCAATCTTTTATGTTTGGCACAAATATTTGTGAAAATATATGTGTGTATGTATTTGCAAACATGTACACACACATCATTGCTTTCTTTTATTCTTTCTCATTGTAAAACAGGAAATGTATGAAGTTGCCAAGAAGCTTTGCTCTTTCTGTGAAGGTCTTGTCCATGATGAACATCTACAGCACCAAGGCTGGGCTGCAATCATGGCCAATCTGGAGGACTGTTCAAATTCATACCAAAAGCTTCTTTTCAAGTTTGAAAGTATTTATTCAGATTATCTGCAGTCCATAGAAGACATCAAGTTAAAACTTACTCAGTATGTTTATCATTAAGTGGATTTTTATAATGCCTTTGAAATTTATCAGTAATTTTCAGTCACTGGATATTTGCTCCTTAGAGGCCATATGTTTATTTAACTGATAATTTTAGAGTCTTAAAACATTTGATATTATTATAATAATTGTTCTTATGTGCAAGTACAGGCCTGTGTGTTTCATGGTGCTTATGTTGAAGTCAGAGGACAAATTTTAGATGTTGATTTTTTTTCTTTCCGCTGTGGGATTCAGACCTTTCCTATTACCCACTCAGCCATCTCACTGGCCTGTATTAGAATCATGCTGTAGTTAAGTTGTGGGTTTTTGATTTGGTGCTTTGTTTGTTTGTTGTTTTGGTTTTGGGCATTTATTTTTTTATGCTGGTATTCATCCATCCATCCAGGAGACAGAATCTCTCTGTGTAGTCGTGTCTGTTCTTACATTCACTATGTAGACCAGACTGACTTCAAACTCAGAGTTCCGCCTGCCTCAGTCTCCCAGTGCTTGAATTAAAGGCATATGCCACCAAGCCAGCCATAAATTATGGCTGTTAATGTAATTTCTAAAAAATACATGTTTTGATTCCCACAACCTTTTTTTCTCCCTTGAGTGATTTAGTCATATGAAAAACTTAGAGTAATATGTAAAAATAAGAATCTTTCTTTATAATTTGCCCAAAAGAGAAAAAGTAAAATGGAGGAGAGAGAAAAAAAGGACCTGACTTCACATCTCATATAAATAAAAAAGCCATCAGACATGGACAATTTTAAGTTATCTTTAAAATATTGCCCTCCTAATATAAGTTCTTTACATATTAAAGAAACATACTACAGAACTATAATTAATATTAAATGAGCATTAATTCAGCCTTAAAATAACTATTGCCAATTCATGCCTATATATGTACTTTCCAGATTTTATATTCTAGTTTCTTATTTTCTTCTTTACTTTGAATTTTTATTAGAGGTGATAGCATGTTCTCTTAATTTTCTACTTTTCCTTAATCTTTACTTCTTTTTTAGTGATGCTGGGGACTCAATTCAACTTCTTCCCTGTATTAGACAAAGATTATTGCTCTTAAATTGCATCCTGGCCACATGGCTCCTTTCCCTCAGTTTTCTCAGCATTATAGGTTGACTATTTATTGAAAAGTTTTGGTCTTTATTGACACTGAAAGAAATATCGATAGGAAAGAGAATGAATAGTCAGCATTAACAGATCATTTTTAATTGTTTATTACAATAACTTTTCTAAGTACCTATTTTGGAAGGACTCCCAATAACCAGATCAATTTAAAAGGACCTGAATCTTTTTATATACAATATAGTTTTGTGAAATCTCAGAGATTTCATATTTTCCCCATTTTCTTTTAACAGTTCATGTCTCAGTCCATTTTCCTGAGGTAGTGAGTATAAAAGTTATCTTGTGCTTTCAGCACATTGAATTTATTTGATTGTGTTAATGGTAGTGTTATAGTCTGAGGGACTATTCTGGCCAACCTTTGTTTTATTATATTTTTTCTAATAAAAAAGTTTTACTTGAAAAGAGTTTGATTAAAAGTCAACATCTACATGTTTAGTATAATCAAGCTAGCTTTACTATAAATTTATATTTTGATGTTTGCTATCACCTTTCTACTAAACTATACTTTTAGCTGGCTAATGAAAGAGCGCATATGTATGGAACATATGTGGAACAGCGGTAAGGCTAGTGTTTTGAAGTTTTGTGATTTCGTTGCATGGTACTAGAACACACTTGCTTTACTGACTGATGTTTTGTATATTAAGTTTAGGAACCGCGGTTTCAGTAATGGCCAAGATTCCTCTCTTGGAGTGCCTAACCAGACATAGTTACAGGGAATGTTTGGGAAGACTGGATTCTTTAAATGAACATGAAGACTCAGAGAAAATTGAGATGAAAAGATCCACTGAACTGGTGCTCTCTCCTGATATGCCTAGAACAACTAACACATCCATGTTAACCTCATTTCACAAGTCAGTGGAGCATGTACCTCCAGATCCCACTGATGCTGAACCGGGCAAAGGACTTAGGGAATCTTGTCAAAGTACTGTCCAGCAAGAAGAAGCTTCAGTAGATGAGAAAGACAGTGATCTTCCTTTTTTTAATGTGTCCTTGTTAGACTGGATAAATGTTCAAGATAGACCTAATGACGTGGAATCTTTGGTCAGGAAGTGCTTTGATTCTATGAGCAGGGTAAGTGTTGTGTGTGTGTGTGTCAGGGGTGGGCTTTAAAGTTATAGTTGAAGCAATATAACTTAGATTGGAATTTGTAGATTGGATCAAATAACTTGTAACCATGCTTTTGATTTTCTTGTGAGAAGGGTTTATGTAATTTTTGAGTAGTTGAAAGATAAATCACTACCAACTAAAAACATAGTGTTGAATATTTCTATCGTCCAGAAAGTTGTCTTTTCCTGGTGAACACCTCCCTACATGAGAAATTATAACTTCTATCAAAATTGTTCAGTAAGGCGTTACTGTTACAGTTCTAGAGGCAAACCTGGGACAAATGTCACTACTCTGTGAGTTGATGCAAAACATTTGCATCACAAAGGAAATTGTTTTGTTTTATTGACACAAAATACTAAGGTTTTGAAGATTTCAGTTATTAGAATATGAAGACTGGAATAGTTGGGCTTTGCTTAAAGGGGCACTTAGTGAGAAAACAGATTTGGTTCTTGATTCAATAATTCTTTTTAAAAAGAAAAAAAAACCTGGTCTAAGTATTCTAGGATGCCTGGAACAGCACTGCCTACCTTAAGTTATAAGTCAAGTGAATGCCTCTAAGATCTTGGTTTCCTAATGTGTTGAGCATCTGTGTCATTGATAACATCTGATCTGATAGGTAGGTATTTCATTCAGTTAGGCATTTGCCCCAGCAAACACTATTGTCAAAATGCATGAAAGCTACACTAATATTTCTGCTTTAATTTTATTTATGTATGTATGTATGTATTTTTGACACACGGTTTCTCCATAGCTCTTGTAGACCAGGCTGACCTCAAACTCACAGAGATCCACTTGCTTCTGCCTCCCGAGTGCTGACATTAAAGGTGTACACCAACACTGCCTGATAGTGTTTATAAGTTTCATAGAAATTATGTTAAACTCAAAATCCATTATTTTCTCTTTCTGACCATTGTTCACATCATTTGAACCTTCTTCCTGTTTCACGCTCTCTCTAGCCCCACTTAAACGGCCTCATATCAAATATTTCCTTTACAGATCAGAAGGACAGTCCAAAGACATTGGTCAGTGAGATGACTTAGTGGGTAAAGAATGGTGGAGGGAGGGAATTGACTTCCACTGGTTGTCCTTTGACCTCTACATGTATGTCATGGCTTTGGAGAGCTCACACTGATGCCCACACATGTACATGTGTGTGCTTAGACACACACACTTGGTTGATACCTTTATATTGATATTAGCAGACACTTTAAGATCACATCTGAGGCTTGAAAAACTATGCTAGGTTTCTTCCATTAAAAGTTGAGTTTAGGATCTGGCAGTATGATCTAGTGGATAAAGCTGAAAAACCTTACTTCAATCTCCAGGACTTGCATGGTGAAAGAAGAGAGTTAATTCTCAGAAATCTTCTGACCTCATGTGCAGACAATGGCGTATCTTTTGCTCAGAAGTAGAACACTTTCTACCAAGGCCGCAGGCTCAATTTCTAGTACCGCAGTAACAGTAATGATGAACAATTCGCTGTTGGCAGTATCTCCCACCTATAATACCAACACTGAAGTTTTTTTAAATTTATTTTGCATACAACATTCTGCCTCCATGTATGCCTGCATGCCAGAAGAGGGCACCAGTTCTCATTATAGATGGCTGTGAGCCACCATGTGGTTGCTGGGAATTGAACTCAGGACCTCTGGACGAGCAGCCGGAGCTCTTAACCTCTGAGCCATCTCTCCAGTCTCCAAAACTGAAAATTTGAAACTAACCTAGGCAATGTAGTTTGAATCCCTGAGTTAGACCCTGTCTTAGGATGGATGAATGGATGGGATATGGTGCCTAAGATTAAAACTATAACTGTAAATGGAATAGTTAGATTCTGAGAAGAAATCTGTGAAGGAACCAGCCGGACCTGAAGAGATTGGCAAAGGTTGTCTGCCTTTAATGAACAAGGATTTTCGATAGTTGTGACTAGTTTTTATTAGAAAATAGTCACCATCATACATGTAGAATTAAAGCCAGATAGCAGGTAGAATTAGAAATTAAGAAAGCATATTGATCAAGCTGTTTCCTTTCAGTAAAGATTAAAATTAAGAAAGCACATTGATTAAGCTGTTTCCTTTCAGTAAGTTTTCTGTATTACTGAGGAAGAAAAAATCTTACCTTTTTAAAGATGGGGGTGAGTTGCTTGTGCGGGCCTGTCTTCTGCATTGCTTCCTAATCTCTAAATTGCAAACATATGCCAAGGTGCCTGATTGTGGAGGATGCTTTGAGAGAAGTTGAACTGATAAAAGTTACGGCCCAAGAATGAATTTGTCACTATTGATTGGCTCTACTTTATATGACTTTGATGACATTGAAAAATAGCATTTTCTTAAGGATATTGAGAAATGATTAAATTATAGCATTGATTGAGATTTGTGATTACTGGATTATGCACTTGATTTTTTTTTTATTGTATTTGCTTAACACCAGCTGTTTAGGATGAGACAAGTCTTAGTAACCTTCCTTTGGAAGTGTAACTTGATTTCCTGTGCATGGTTTTTCTGTGTCGTTTTCTATCACTTTTATATCTGACCCTGTTCAGTTAGTGTGAAATATAGTTGAAACTATTTCCAGAAGATTTTACTCCTATGTTTTTTTCTCATTTAGCTTGACCCAAAGATTATTCAACCATTTATATTAGAATGCCATCAAACTATTGCCAAACTTGATAATCAGAACATGAAAGCCATTAAAGGACTTGAAGATCGTCTGTATGCCCTGGACCAGATGATTGCTAGCTGTGGCCGACTGGTAAATGAACAGAAAGAGCTTGCTCAGGTATTATGTTTGGCTCTTTGGTTTACTTTAGGTACAATGTCTACTTAGTGTACACATTTATACATGTTTCCCATCACTGTTGGTAATGTATTATTATTCTCGTGTATTAATTAGGTTTCCCTGTTCTATGACTATATAACTAACACTATGGTTAGTTTAAGGGAAAAGAGGTTTATTTTGTTTGGTTTCAGAAGGGTATAGTCTGAAATGATGAAAAATGTAGGGCACCAGGAACAGATTCAGGAGGAGCAGAGGTACAACTTGCCTCTTTGCAAGATAAGAAAATAGGATACAGAAGCAAAGGATGGAGCAGGCTGGGCCCATACCACAGTGATCCATTTTTTGACTAAGTCTTATATCCCAAAGGTTCCATCTCTTCTCAGAACAGCACCAAGGGAGGGCCATCACTCAAAAAGTGAGCTTGTGGGCACAAATCAGATTTATAACAGTATACCACAAAACAAAAGATATGTTCTGTGTTGTTATTCAGTCTGAGGCAGGATCTCACTCTGTTACCCAGCCTGAGATGCATCTATCTGCCTCTTTTTTTGTGTTGTGAATACAGTTGACAGCCATCACACACAGCCAAGGCATGCTCCTAGTGGTTGAACTTGCTAACGTGCGGTCAGGTACTATGAATGAAAAATGAAATACAAACCAGGAAAGTACTTTCCACAGCTGGAGTGGAAAAGATTATTGTTAAGGTGTTAAAAGATAAAGGAAGCTGAACTAATTAGTACCTTGTATTCTCCCTCAAAACAAAAGACAAGAAAAAGAAGAAATCTTGAAAATTGATTACTTCTTCATATTTATGACCACTTGTTTTCCAGTCCCTGAGAAGAATAGTTGCTGCTCTGTCTCCTTCTTCCTCTCCCTCCCTCCTGCCCTCTGTAGTTCATGGTCTGTGTAGCCCATGTTGTTCCTTCCTGTCTCTGGTTTTTAAAGTGCTGTGGCTTCTATTCATGTTTAAATTTTTATTCCTGGTGATACTGATATTTTATGTGTTTGTTTTTAATAAGAAAAAACAAAGAAATATAAAAATCTAAGGTAGCTTAAATTTAATGTTTAAAAAATTAAATGTTTTACTGACATTTTAAAAAGAACTTGCTTTGGGCTTATGTTGGAATAGTTATTTTAGTACAGCTTTCAAGATTGAGATTATTTTAAGTTGGTCCTTCAACTGGCCATTTATATGTGTTTCCCCTTTAGGGTGAGACGGATTTTAGGGGACAAAATAGAAAGTGCACCATTGTCTGTTTTTCTCTTGAGTGCTTATGTCATTTATTTAACAAAATTAAATACTTTTAAAACTTTTTTTCTCAAAGGGATTTTTAGCTAATCAGATGAGAGCTGAAAACTTGAAGGATGCATCCGTGTTACCTGATTTGTGCCTGAGTCATGCAAATCAGCTGATGATTATGTTGCAAAACCACAGAAAATTGTTGGATATTAAACAGAAGTGTACCACTGCCAAACAAGAGCTAGCAAACAACCTACATGTCAGACTGAAGTAAGAGATTCTGTCATATTTAATTTAGGTTCTTGAGAGTTTATGCTTTTATTTCCCAGTAATGAGTGATTTCCCCTTATGATTTCATTGTAATTGATTAACCCTGAGATTAGATGTCAGAGTCTTGACTCTCACAGCTTACCTACAAGATAATTTTTAGCAAGTGTTGGGACTGTTGAAAACAGTGAATTACAGAGTAACGCCCGTACTCTGCAGGTGGTGTTGTTTTGTGATGCTTCATGCTGATCAAGATGGAGAAAAGCTGCAAGCACTGCTGCGCCTTGTCATAGAGCTGCTAGAGAGAGTCAGAATTGTTGAGGCTCTCAGCACAGTCCCTCAGATGTACTGCCTAGCCGTGGTTGAGGTCGTGCGGAGAAAAATGTTCATTAAACACTACAGAGAGGTAAGCAGTTCTAGCTGTGTAATTATATATGAACATTAATAATTGGCATATGTCATTAACATAAACTTTTCTTCTCAGTGGGCCGGTGCTTTAGTCAAAGATGGGAAACAATTGTATGAAGCTGAAAAGTCCAAAAGGGAATCCTTTGGGAAATTATTTAGTAAGCGCTAATTTTTTTATCCTTTTTTATTTTTTACCTCTTAAATAGTTTCCAGAATAACCATGTTTCTAATTCTTCACACAGGGAAATCCTTCTTAAGAAATCGTCTATTTAAGGGACTGGACTCCTGGCCCCCCTCATTTTGTGTATGTATTTTCTCACTGTGACTAAATTTGTGTATTGTAAAACTTCTTTTTTCAGGATTCGAAGCATTTATCAAAAACAGAATAGGATTAAATCAGCATATAATGGTTTTGGTTTTGGGGGTTACCTGGTGTAAGCCTTGATATGTGTTAATGGTTATTTTTCGTTGTTAATTTTTGAGATTCTAAGTACAGTATTTCTTCCTCTCCTCCCTCTAAAACTTCTTATAAACCCTTCCTGCTCTCCTTCAAATTCATGGTCATTTTTCATCAGTTGTTACTGTATGCGTCATATATTCCTAAATATATCCTAATGAGTCCACATAATGCTACTTGTGTGTATATTTCAGAGTTGACAGTTTGGCACTGGACAATTGATTAGTGGGCTCATTTCTAGGGAAGGCCACCTATCTGGTTCCCAACTTTACTCAGTTGCCTGTAGCTCTTTGTGTAGGATTCAGGCCTTTCCCCCATGTAGGTTGGGGTCCTTGTTTAGCTCACATCTGCATGTTTGGTGAGACTTTGCAGATGTAACTTTAGTGTTACTAAAAGACAAATTCCCCAATCCTCTCCTAGTTTTCCACCCCCTCTTTACAGTTGTCCTCTGGTAACGGAGTGTACCTTTACTACTGTCTTCCACAGCTCTTCACATTGATTGCTTGTGCTTTTCTTTAGTGGTTTGTGTTGCAAAGAGAAGTTTCTTTGAAGGCAAAAGATGTATATCTATCTGTGGGTAGAAGAACAAATATCTATGGGTATGGATATATGCTAGTTTAGCAAATCTCCTAGAATCATGATTTCACTAGCACTGAGTGTTTCCAGTATCAGACATGGCCTCTTTCTTGTTGAACCGCTCTTTAAAGTTCAATTAGAGAGCTGTTGATTGCTGCAAAGTATGTGTGCCGCTCCTTCATCACCCAGCAGCCCATGTTAGGCTGTCAAGCAATGGGAATGCCATTTTTAGTTGTTTTGTTTTCCGTTTATTTTTTGTATTCTCATCTGTTTGTTGCCCATTCATCCTTTTGTCCCCATATTATTATTTGATAAGTTAGAATAACTTTTGAGTCTTCAGTAGATGTTTATTAAAATTAAACATGAAAATAGCATTTGTTATATTTTAAGGACAGTTAGCTGGATCTATTCATTTTTCAAATGAGGTATTTTTATTAAAAAATGCTGGGATTAAAGGCTTGCACCACCACCTCCCAGCAAGGATTTCACTTTTAAATATGTTTTTGCAAGGCAATATATTAAGAGTGTACACAGATAACATAATTGGAATTCACGTATATACTTATTTATCTATGTTTTATATAGATTGTCCTGACATAGTTAAATCTTCTTGACTAGTAACCAAGATAATTGAAGTTTTTTTAAAAGATACCACTCTTGCCAGTATTATATAAAAAAAAACAAAACAAAAACTAGTAGGACTTTACAATTAATACTTTTTGTTTAGAGTTAAAAGTTGACCCATAGTATTTTTTAAAGTGTGAAGAGCAAAGAAAGAAATATTCCTAGGTACTATGGGGAGGCATTTTATGTTCATTCTGTGGGTCAAGGGGAAATTTGGAAATAACCTATGCACAGTCCAACTAATGGTACCCTTTAGTGTTGATGGGATTCTAGAATTTCTATAAAGTGGTGCAAGAACAAAAGAGAAAGAATAAGCGTATTGGTTATCACCAAACAGTTCATTGTCCAGACTGTTAAGGTTCACAGAGCTAGTGTGCCCTTTAATCTTTGCATGGTTTTTTATTTTAATTCTGTTGTGATTTTGTCAGTCTCTTATGTTAGATTCAATTATAACAAGAAATATCTAAATTTATTCTTCATATTGGTAAAGTTTTTTTTTCTTTTGTAGACTCAGAAGCCTCGAAAATTTGACTGTGAACTTCCAGACATAACATTAAAAGATTTACAGTTTCTCCAATCATTTTGTCCTTCAGAAGTGCAGCCATTCCTCAGGTAAAGGCCATAAGCATTTTTAGTTTATTAGATCTTTCTTTTTTTTTTACATTTTTTTTTTTTATTTTTTGAGACAGGGTCTCTTTGTAGCTTTTGGTTCCTGTCCTAGAACTAGCTCTTGTAGACCAGGCTGGCCTCGAACTCACAGAGATCCGCCTGCCTCTGCCTCCCAAGTGCTGGGATTAAAGGCGTGCGCCACCACCACCCGGCTAGTTTATTAGATCTTGAAGTGGTAAAAGTTATTTGTTTTCTTTTGGCTCTCCTGACTTGGCATACATGTATCTTTAGGGCACAGGCTTCTTCCAGCTAACCCATCCTTGCTTAAGTACTGGTCATGCTGTTGTATTGTTTTTGAAAGAATGAAATTGTTTATAGTTCTTATAAGAAACTGAAAATTCAGTGTAGTTTATTTGCGTTCTTTTCCAGGGTTCCCTTACTTTGTGACTTTGAACCTCTACACCAGCATGTACTTGCCCTACATAATTTGGTAAAAGCAGCACAAAGTTTGGATGAAATGTCACAGACCATTACAGATCTGCTGAATGAACAAAAGGCAAATGAGTTTTAAATAATTTTATTAATATAAGATGTTTGCTTATTACAGATCTTTAGAAGTCTCATTCTGTGTTCCAGGTGTCCGCAAGTCAAGCATCCCCACAGTCAGCTGCTTCTCCAAGGATAGAAAGTACAACGACTACCTCACCAAAAACTCCTCCTCCACTAACTGTTCAGGATCCCTTATATCCAGCAGTGTGTCCCTTAGAAGAATTATCTCCAGACAGCATTGATGCTCATACATTTGACTTTGAAACCATCTCCCATCCAAATGCAGAACAAACAATTCACCAAGCTTCGTTAGACTTGGATTCATTAGCAGAAAGTCCTGAGTCTGATTTTATGTCTGCTGTGAATGAGTTTGTGATTGAAGAAAACTTATCATCTCCAAACCCTATAAGTGATCCACAAAGTCCTGAAATGATGGTGGAGTCACTTTATTCATCAGTCATCAATGCCATAGATAGTAGGCGCTTGCAGGACACGAGTGCACATGGAAAAGAGGGACTGGGAGAGCGTGCTGCTCTGCATGTCCAGCTGGAGAAATGCAAAGTTGCTGCCCAAGACTCTCATGTCGGTATACAAACCATCAAGGAAGATCTGTGCCATCTCAGAACATTCGTACAAAAAGAACAGTGTGATTTATCAAATTCTTTAAAATGTATAGCAATAGAAATAAGAAACATTATTGAAAAAGTCAAATGCTCCCTAGAAATAACTCTAAAGGAAAAACATCAGAAAGAACTCCAGTCTTTAAAAAGTGAGTATGAATGTAAACTTGATGCTCTAGTAAAAGACAGTGAAGAAAATGCAAATAAAATTAAAAAATTGAAAGGAGATTTAATATCCCTTGAGGAAGTTTTACAAAGTAAAGACAGCGAATTTGCATTGATTAAACATGAAAAGGATGCTGTCGTCTTCTTGCAGCGTGAAAAGGACCAGAAGTTGGTAGAAATGGAAAATATTATGCGTACTCAAAATTGTGAAATTGAAGAATTAAAGCAGTCACGAGAGATGGCGTTAGAAGACCTGAAAAAGCTACATGTTGAAAATGATAAGAAAATAGAGTCACTGAAAGCTGAATTTCAGTGCTTAGAGCAAAGCCACCTAAAGGAATTAGAGGACACAATGCATGTCAGACACACACATGAGTTTGAGAAAGTTATGACAGACTATAAAGTGTCGTTGGAGAGATTGAAAAAGGAAAATCAACAAAGAATTGACCAGATACTAGAATCTCATGCCTCAACTCTCCAGGAAAAAGAACAACAGTTGCAGGAATTGAAACTCAAGGTTTCTGATTTGTCAGACATGAGGTGTAAATTGGAGGTCGAACTTGCATTAAAGGAAGCAGAAACCGATGAGATAAAGATCTTGTTGGAAGAGAGCAGAACTCAGCAAAAGGAAACTTTGAAGACTCTCCTTGAGCAAGAGACAGAAAACTTGAGGACAGAAATAAGTAAACTAAACCAAAAGATTCATGAAAATAATGAGAATTATCAGGTGGGCTTAGCAGAATTAAGAGCTTTAATGACAATTGAAAAAGATCAGTGCATTTCCGAATTAATTAGTAGACACGAAGAAGAATCTAACGTACTTAAGGCTGAATTAGACAGTGTAACATCATTGCATCATCAAGCATTTGAAATAGAAAAAAACTTGAAAGAACAAATAGTTGAACTGCAGAGTAAATTGAACTCAGAACTGAGTGCACTTGAAAGACAAAAAGATGAAAAACTAAGCCGACAAGAAGAGAAGTATGAGGCTCTCATCCAGAACCTAGAAAAAGACAAGGAAAAGTTGGTCATGAGCCATGAACACGACAAAGAACAGTTAATTCAGAGGCTTAATTACGAAAAAGACGAAGCTATTCAAACTGCACTAAATGAATTTAAGTTGGAGAGAGAACTTGTTGAGAAAGCATTATTAGAAAAAGTTAAACATCTTGAGAATCAAATAGCCAAAAGGTAAGTGTTAAGCTTAGTGTGTGATTATTATGGATGACTCAAATGTATGTTTTAATCATATTGCATTGATATATTCATTTGCTGTAGCTAGAGGAACTGAGGTATTTTTACAAAGTAAAGACTTAGAATATTGTTTATTATAACTGTGAAAATGACATTGCATAAATCTACTATTGCTAGAGCTCGGTATGATAGCTTGTGCCTGTAATCCAAGTACTTTGGAAGGCCAAGGCATGAGGATTGCTATGAGCCCAATCGTGGGACACAGAGTGAACTTGTCCTAGGCCATACCTTGTCTTGAGGAGTAAACAAGCCACAAAATAGATCAATTATTCAAAATTTCTTTTAGGTTTGTTGCTTTTACTAAATTCTTCAGTTGAAATTTTGTTCTCTTCCCGTGTTGGTATGAGAGTTTAAGTTTCCTGTGCCTGTGGTTTAGCTGAGGCTAAATCAGATGGGAATATGCACAGTGTTCCTCACTATTCGTTTCTTGATACCACAGTTTCATTGTTTTCTCTGGTTGGAAAGATATTTGTAAATTCCAGACTTAAGGGTTTTTTTCATTATATTTCATTATTGCCATCTGTTAATATTTTTTAACTACCACAGATTGGTTTAGAAACATTGTAATCGAATTTTGCCCATTTTGTAGAGTACCGTTGGTGTATCATTTAGTACTGTCATTAGTCTCAAATTGAATATTTTAAAGGGTTATGTGTAATACATATGTGTATGCTTGTGTGTATATGTGTTTGTTTTTAATTCCCACCTCTTGCGTCACCACTTTTAAACACTCTTAATTATCTTCCTGCAATATAATGCTAATTTTAAAATAGCTTTTTGTATTTTTAAGAGATGAGAGGATTTAATAGAGAAATAAGCATTGTGGGGGATGGTTAGAGTACTATGGGAGACAAAAGTTAAAACAGTTTAATTACTATGGAAAAGCTCAGGACCAGAACTGATAATAACACGATAATATTATATTAAGGAATTATTGCAGTAGGCAAAATAAATTGTCACCGTAGAAGTGAGCTTAGTTCTAAGTACAGCATGGACTGGTTCAAGGTTATTCTAGGTACTAGGGTCAGGATCAGTAGATGGAGCCTTATAAAGAGAAAGCAATCAAACAAAAGGAAATTTAGCAAAACTGACCTGCCAAGATTCTGGCAAGCTAGAGTGATAAGAAACCAAGGTAGGAGATTAAGAATTTGATCCAGTATTCAGAGATATCAGATTACGGGAGTGGAGAATTCTCTCCAAACTTGTTGCCACAACTGAGCAGTGCAAGCTGGACAAGAGCAGTTGTCAAGGTTGGAGTCTAAAGGGCCTAGAAGAGACTGACTAATGTTTCGTGAGTCTGCATCAAGCAAGCTCTAAGTGAAATGTCATGAAGATACACTCTGATGCCCTCATCATACAGACAAGCTATGGCAGCACTCAGGAATCTCTTAAAGCATCACATGTTGGCTTTATCTGCAGCATAAATTAATAGTTTTCAGTTACTTGTGAGAGAACTGGCTACAACCACTTTTGGAGAATAGGACTATGTCTTTCTCCTGTCTTCCACACCATGCGGGTATTCTTTTATCGCTATACTTGAAGCTCTTCAAGGGATTTTGGGAAATGCACAATCTCTCTCCTGAAGTTTACATGAGATTGCAAAAGGAGCAGCAGAAGAGAGCAGTCTGACATTGTGCCCTTTTAGACTCAGTTCTCAGGTGTACGTACTTCTTTACCCATACTGTACGCACAAATAGTGACACTTCAGTATCATTTGTTTCACGTGATGCAACTTCTGTCCCACATATGCCTGAGATTTTCTTATCCTCTCTCTTTTCAAAGGTAAGACTAAAATTGAAGTTATTTTGTCTTTCCTCAATGGAACATCTGTTCTTTTCTGTTACAATCACTGAAATTCTGTAAGATAAGTTGAAAAGAATTCAGGGTAACCACCATTATCATACTTCTTCATAAATTGGGGGAATGAAAGTGGTTAAAAAATAAATGCCTTAATGTGGATAGACTTAATTACTAGGTAATTTCTGTAATTACCCTTGCAACTCTAAATATTTATTTGGAGCTTTCTTCTATTACCCACTCCAGTCATTATCTAATTCTTCACCTGACAGGCATGACTGACATCTTTGTGTGTGTACATGGTGGGATTTCCATCTTCAGAGATACATTCATGGTCATTTTCCATAAAGTGCCACTATTCCCACCCCTCATCCTTTCAGTACTGAGAATTGAATTAAAGCTAGAAGATATCAGGCAGCCGTTATTATACTGAACTAGCCCCAACTTTCACAAATTTCTTGTCACTAGCTTTTTTAATTGGGTGCGTAAGAGGACTATGGTTTCATTGCACAGTCCAGGTTATCCTTGAACTCAGAACCCCACCTTAGCTTCTTTTGTGCTTAACACAGTCCTGTACCACTATAAATAGCCTTGTTGCCAAATTTAATCTAGATCTCTTAAGTCTACTGTCTGAAAATTCTTTCACCCACCCTTAATGAATCATAGTTCCGTACTCCTTCCCTTGTTTTCTTTCTGTGACTTCAGATGCTCTGCATGATTCTACAGCCTTTCCTTTGGGAACGTCACCCTTCCCGCCTGCTCTGCTGCCCGTCAGTGTGGCTTTGCTGCTTCACCTGTGCTTTTGAAGGGTGTCAGCATTTAGGCAGAATCATTAGGATATTTATAATAATTAGGATATTATAAATTCAGGTGTAGAAAAAACAAAATAAATGCTGCTATGTATAATCCTCTTAATGAGTTAAGACAGCATAGTAGTTTGAATAAAGAATGATTCCCACAGTCTTGGACATTTGAACACTTGGTGCCCAGTTTGTATCGCTATTTGGGGGCCTTGCTGGAGGAAGTACATCACTGGGAGCTAGTTTTGAGATTAAAAGCCTTGTGCTTTTCCAGCTAATCCTGCATCATGCTTGTGATTGAGAATGAGCTTTCAACTTTGCCTGCTGTTTGCTGCCACAGCTTCCCTCCAATCATGAAAGACTTAGCCTCCCAAGCAAAAGGAAAATACTCCCAAACTCTAGGGTCTTAATTATTATCCTGTAGTATCCAGTATATTGCTATGCGTCCTTCATCACGAGTGAAGAAACAGTGATTTGTATCTGCTACAAATAGTGGGGTAGCTGCTAGCTCAGGTGGATGACTTACTGGTCTAAAGTCTTAACTTTTTTTTTTTGAAGACCTCTTTGTGTGTATGGGTATTGTGCCTGCATGCATGTCTGTGCCACATATGTGCCTATTGTGTCTTTACATGCTAAAAGAAGCTGTTATATCCCCTGGAACTGGAATTACAGAGGGTTTCTCTCCTGCCCGGTGGGTCCTAGTAACTGAAGTAGGTTCCTCTGTAAGAGCTGCAAGTACTCCGAGCCAAAGAGCTATCATCTCTCCAGCCCAGTGCCAGGGTTTTTTGTTCTTTGGGTTTTTTGTTGTTGCTTTTGTATGTATGAGTGTTTTGGTTGCATGCATAAATATGTACCACATGTGTGACTGATGCCTACAGAGTTCAGAAGATCCCTTGGGACTGGAGTTAAAGGTGGTTATAAACTGCCATGTGGGTGCAGGGAATCAAAGCAGAATCCTCTACAGGAGCAGAGTGGTAAGTGCTCTTACTACTAAGCCAGCTTTCCAACCCCGCAGCACATAGTCTCAATACATAATGTCTTCCTGATGAGTCACGGTAGGCTCAGGATGACCTGTGGTACAGTATCCTCTCAGATGTCTAAGGAAGGCAGAGTAGTCGATTGCTGGCCCAGGTCTTGTTATTCAGTGGAAAATATAATTTTCTAGAGCTAATTAGATTCCCAAATACCCAATTTAAACTTTATATTGTTTTGTTTTTTTCTATTTTAGTAAGTCTTTATCCAGCCTGTTTTGTGGGCTGACACAAACTGACCACTGGGAAAGATTGTCTAGGATATGTCTTCTGATATCTGCTTTGGATCTGCTGCTGAAGAAGAGTCATATTTTGTCTCCATGATTTGCCTTTAATTGTTCTCTGCCACTGCAGAATCCAGTTATTTTCATTAAATACATTTCATTTCAGCTCTTATCTAACCTCGACAGCCTGTGACCCACAGAGAGTCAGTCCTTTAGTCCTAGGTTTTTTGAATAATTGGGTGAATATTCCCTTAAACATTCTTAGGGTGTACTTAAGAAATGCTCTCTGATGCCTTCCAGTAGAGGCAGGATTTTTTTTTTCAGACATTTTTTATTCAGTCCCCTCTTTACCTAAGAAATCTTTACTTGACCCTGAACATATGTATATACTTATACAAATGAAAAACATACTACTAATAATAGGTCAGATTTATTTTAAAACCTTTCTTGATATAAATAGGATTTTACCGTGGCTAATCTAGCAGTATATTTTGATTGAAATATAACATTATTTAATACACACTTAGTAGTCTTCCCATAATTTTGCATGTCCTTTGTTATGAAATTAAAATGCAGTAAGTGTTAATTTTCATTGGTTTCATTGTGGAACATGAAACTGCCAGAGAGCCACACACACACATACACACACACACATACACACATGCGCGCGCGCACATCAATGTCTTGTACATTGAAAAGAAATCCTGTGTGATTTTGCAAGCACCATGAACACTAGTTCACTAATTTATACAAATGTTGACATGTTGTAAAATGAAGCTGGCAGTACATATCCAAAATATTTGTATAAGTATTTTAATGTAAGGTGCATTTATTATTATATTTTGATTAGTTGTCAAAGAACTTTATAAATATTTTTCGTTTCAAGGCACAGATATTTTTTTTTAATTGTATGTGCATTGGTGTTTTATCTGCTTCTTGTCTGTGTGAGGGTGTCAGATCCCCTGGAGCTGTAGTTACAGCTGTGAACTGGTGTGTGGGTGCTGGAAATTGAACCCAGATCCTCTGGAAGAGCAGTCAGTGTTCTTAACTGCTGAGCTATTTTTCCAGACCCAGCTAGAATTTTGCATACTTAAGGAAGAATTAATTCTTACTGTGTTAATAAAAAAAAAATATCTTCCTCTTCTCACCATTATAATGAAGGGTAAGATGTCAGACGTATAGTTCTGAAGTAGTTTTTAATTTGTTATGGTGTCTGGACTTCCATCAATACAAGTAGCAGATGAAAAAGACATGTTATCATCTTAAGAAAATAACCTATAATTTTATGTTGAGGTCTTTGATCCATTTGGACTTGAGTTTTGTGCATGGTGATAGATATGGGTCTATTTGCATTCCTCTACATGTTGATATCCATTTCGCCAGCACCATTTGTTAAATATGCTTTCTTTTTTCCATTTGATATTTTTTGCTTCTTTGTCAAAAGTCAGGTGTTCATAGGTGTGTGGATTAATATCTGGGTCTTCGATTCGGTTGCATTGGTCCTCCTGTCTTTTTTTTTTTTTTTTTTTTTTTGCCAATACCAGGCTGTTTTCAGTACTTTAGCTCTGTAGTAGAGTTTGAGGTCAGGAATTGTGCTGCCTCCAGAAGTAGTTCCTTTATTGTACAGGATTCTTTTGGCTATCCTGGGTTTTTTGTTTGTTTGTTTGTTGTTGTTTTTCCATATGAAATTGAGTATGGAATGCCTGATCTGGTGTTCCACTTTGTCATTTCAGACTCATATCTAAGCTGAGTCTGATTGAGCTTAAACAGACCACGTAAGCTTAAGGATGGCAGCCAATTCGTGTTGGATTCTCAGTGCCTCCTTCTATCACCACTGCCACCCCTTTCCCAGAAGGCAGTTGGCTGCGCCGAAGCAAGCCAGTGGTGGTGTGGAAAAGCAAAGCAGTTACTGTTTCACTACTGTGTTAGTTAATTCATCTCAGGCCTTAGGGTAAAATAAAATAAAATTACGTACCTGATAACCATGTAAAATCATATCCAGTAAAAACTCATTGTAGAATATCTTTTGGCACAGGATGTGCTTTTTCTTCTGAGATGGCTGGAGATGATGTCTTTTTGGTAGAATGTTTATCTAGTTGGAATAAAGCCCTGGGTTCAATTCCCACCACTCAGGAGGTGGAAGCAAAAAGAAGGCCAAGGTCACCCTCAACAGCAGACATAAAGTAGAGGCCAGCCACTGTAAAACATCAGTTTACATCCCAGGATTATTATTGGTTGTTCTCTGTATCTTAGGCCTTTTTTAGTTTTCATTGTGCGGTACACTCGTGCTAATCACAGGGAGTAAGTGTGGTGGCTGTATGTGCTTGCTTGACTAGAACCATCTCTTCTAGCTGTGCCCTCTCAGCCCAGCATTTATCCTGAAACAGTGCACCTGGCAATACAAAGATAAAAAACATAGAATGATAAGTATTTGCCCCTGTGCATACATGTCCCCAGTGGCACAATCCTTATTCTTAATAATACAAACCTCTTTTTTAGACTTATTTGCTATGTTCTGTTCTTTTATCATGGTATCATTCAGAAGGCATTTTGTTACAGTAAAATTTGAACATATCACTCTTTCAGCTCATTCTATACAGTCTGTCTTTGATTATCTAACGTGGCCAGTTCCCCTCTGGCTCTAGGGATAATTCTTCAGCTACTGTATTAGCTCTGCCCGTGCCTGGTTATCCATTGTTACAGTCCTGAGACTTATATTCTGCTTTCTCATTAACATTTCCTGTGTGCATCCCTGCTAACTGCATTCTAGCTATGTCAAAGCTTTAACTTTCACAGTTCCGTTTCTTTCAACTCAAAGGAGAAATAGAAATAAAATCCTTTACCTTTAATTGGTTGTGTTACATTAATTAGAAAATTCCAACCTTTCTGCACTAAGCCACAAATCAGACATCTCCAAGTGTGTGTGTGTGGAAGATTTGCCTGAGCGTTGAGATTTGAGTTAGTTTTCTCTATAAATAAAAGATTCCCAGTGATTTTTTTCTACATTATTTCAGTTCTTATAATATTAGTTGTACATTGCTACCATTATTATAATAGACAACTATTTAGGAGTGAGCAAACTAAAAACTCTTGTTATAAATGCATCTCTATTCCAAAAAAAAAAATCCAGTGTCTTAAAATCAAACAAAGACACACTGAAAATTAATTTTCTAATAATAACACAATAGCCTTTATTTTGTTGTAGCATTTTTAAAGAATTACATAGAGAGGTATTGAGAAAGTCTGGTCGTGCAGACCAGGCTAACTTGATACTGTGCGAAACCCAGGCTTGGGTAAACTTTACTAAAACTTGATGCTGGGATTATAGATATGAACTACCATGCCTGGCTTGTCTCAACAGCTTTGAAGAATTTTAGGAATCTTTTTTTGTTTGTTTGTTTATTTTATTTTTTTTAGTTGTTGCAAAAAAAATTTCCCATTTCCCTCCCCCTCCTCACACACATCGCCCCTCCCCCCACTCCCCTCCCCCTCCCCTCCACTCCATTCCACCTCCCTCTGGAGACTGAAGAGCAGTCCAGATTCCCTGCCCTGCAGGAAGTCCAAGGTTCTCCCACTTCTATCCAGGACCAGGAAGGTGAGCATCCAAACAGGCTAGGCTCCCACAAAGCCAGTTCATGTATTAGGATCGAAACCTAGTGCCATTGTCCTTGGCTTCTCATCAGCCTTCATTGTCCGTCACGCTCAGAAAGTCCCCTTTCATCCCATGCTTATTCAGTCCCAGTCCCGCTGGTCTTGGTGAGCTCCCAATAGATCAGTTCCATTGTCACAGTGGGTGGTGCACCCCTCGTGGTCCTGACTTCCTTGCTCATGTTCTCCCTCCTTCTGCTCCTCATTTGGATCTTAAGAGCACAGTCCGGTACTCCAGTTTGGGTCTCTGTCTCTATCTCGATCCATCGCCAGATGAAGGTTCTAAGGTGATATGCAAGATATTCATCAGTATGGCTATAGGATAGGGTCATTTCAGGTTCCCTCTCCTCAGTTGCTCAAGGTACTAGCTGGGGACATCTCCCTGGACACCTGCGAGCTCCTCTAGAGACAAGTCTCTTGCCAACCCTAAGATGGCTCCCTTAATTAGGCTATATATTTCTCTGCTCCCGTGTCCACCCTTCCTTTATCTCAGCCATCCCATTCCCCCAAGCTCCCCACCATTCTCCCCTTCTCACGTTTCTCACCCCATTTCTCTGCTCCCGTGTCCACCCTTAATTATCTCAGCCATCCCATTCCCCCAAGCTCCCCACCATTCTCCCCTTCTCACGTTTCTCACCCCATTTCCCCTTAGCCCCATGCCACCTCATCCCCAAGTTCCCAGGTTTTGCCCTGGAATCTTGTCTACTTCCCATATCCAGGCGGATGACTATATGTTTTTCTTTGGGTTCACCTTCTTATTTAGCTTTTCTAGGATCACAACTTATATGCTCAATGTCCTTTATTTATGGCTATAAACCAATTATGAGTGAGTACATCCCATGTTCATCTTTTTGGGACTGGGATACCTCACTCAGGAAAATAAAGACTCAACATACTCAAACCTATGGGACACTATGAAAGCAGTGCTAAGAGGAAAGTTCATAGCACTAAGTGCCCACTTAAAACGGAGAAAGCACACATTGGAGACTTAACTGCCCACCTGAAAGCTCTAGAAAAAAAAAAAGAAGCAGACTCACCTAGGAGGAGTAGAAGACTGGAAATAATCAAACTAAGGGCTGAAATCAACAAAATAGAAACACAGAAAACAATCCAAAGAATCAATGAAACAAAAAGCTGGTTCCTGGAGAAAATCAACAAGATTGATAAACCCCTATCCAAACTAATCAAACGGCGGAGAGAGAATACACAAATTAACAAGATCAGAAATGAAAAGGGAGACATAACCACAGACACAGAGGAAATTCAGAAAATCATTAGATCTTACTACAAAAGCCTATATGCCACAAAATTGGAAAATGTTAAAGAAATGGACACCTTTTTTGATAAGTACCATATACCAAAGTTAGACCAGGACCAGGTGAACAATCTAAATAGACCTGTTAGTCGCGAAGAATTAGAAGTTGTTATAAAAAACCTCCCTACCAAAAAAAGCCCAGGTCCAGATGGTTTCAATGCAGAATTCTACCAGAACTTCCAAGAAGACCTAATACCTATACTCCTTAATGTATTTCACAATATAGAAACAGAAAAGTCATTGCCGAATTTTAGGTATCTTTTAAAGGTTGGAAGCAAATTAAGATTTAAGATTAGTAACCAAGGTGTAATCATTTACTTAGGATTGCTTTTGTTTACTTGCCCATTCTTATCTCTGCTGCCTTGTCAGCAACTCCTAAAAGATGAGCAAATTTTGAATGAAACAAGTCAGTTCAGAATTACATACATTTCCTTTGTATCAAAATAAGCCAAAAATCTATGTTATGGAAAGTAAAACTTTCCATCTAAAGTCAGCTGGTATGTGCTTCCTCTTCAGTTTTAGGGGTAGAAAAGCTGAATCTTAAAGTGCCAGAGAAGAACATTGGTTTCATAGATGCCTGTGGAAGCCCTGATAACACCATAGGGCCACGTTCCTTGCTGTCATCAGCCATGTTACTTAACATGCCTATACTTCATAGTTCATAGTTTACTTTTCAGTCCTAAGGACAGGATTCACATGGAAATACATTTCCCATTATCATGGGTTTCTGGGAAGTAAATAGCCTAAGTATAATATTTGATAGATTGTGATTATGTTTGTAATTGTTTTTAAAAATTCTCTTTTCAATTTTTAAGTTCTGCTCTTGAATCAGCCAGAGAAGATTCTTCAAGCTTAGTTGCTGAACTTCAAGAGAAGCTTCAGGAAGAAAAAGCTAAGTTTCTAGAACAGCTTGAAGAACAAGAAAAAAGAAAGAATGAAGAAATGCAGAATGTCCGGACATCTTTGATTGCTGAACAACAGGTGTGTTTCAGAGTTGAGGAAGCAGGATAGAAGCCAGCCAAGCTAGTTCTCTGTGAAGCTGAGGAGGGTTCTTAGATGTTAGTTTGTTTCCATTACTTGGTTTTCTTAATTTTTGTTTGATCTTCTTAATAATAAAAGCATTTATTTAAAAGGAAAACTTAACAGTGATTTGTCACATGACTGTAGCTAGCAGACTATGTAAGAATTTTCAACTCAGGCTGACATGGAATCTCTGCTTTTGAGCATGTGAACTTAGAGCTTCTTTGGCACAACTCATTCTACATGTAATTGACTAGGCTCTTTCTCTGCAAATTCTCACTGTGTTCTTTCATAAGCACATACTCAAAAAATATAAATAAAATAAAAGAGCATACTGGATTTCAAATTCCCATAATGGATTAGGGGCTGAATTAACTGATTTAACTGAATCAGTTTAATTGATTTAACTGAAAAAATGTGAAGCTAACAACTATCTGAATTATCCTAAGTTAAAAATTGTGTTTTAAAAAAATACTAGAGATGACTTCTAAGATATCTAACAATTTCAAATAAAGGCTAATTGGTTCTTAATCTCACTACTCCTTTTTATGTAAATTTGCTTATTATAAATTTTGATTATCATCTTAATCCATTTCATATTACAGAAATAGAAAGTTTTCAAGATGGTTAATATGCTTTTATATGTATTAATTTTCTACATATTAACAAATTTAATAGTACTAAGCTACATTTTTTTAATTTTTATTTTTGGTTTTTTTTCAGACAGGGTTTCTCTGTGTCACAACCCTGGCTGTCCTTGAATTCACTCTGTAGCCACACTGGCCTCAAACTCACAAAGATCTGCCTGCCTCTGCCTCCCAAGTTAATGCCTCCTGCCCCTAAACTATTAATTATTAATATTTCCTTTTTAGAGGTTTTTCCGTGTCTTCCTTACCTGAAATCATAATTTAGTTTGTTCTTTACTAATAGATATTGTCTAAAACTATCAGTTAAATCTCTGTGTTGCCATTAATGGATTTCTAAGAGTGTGAGGCAAGGAGGTCTGCTACGCTGACAAAAGGTTAGGGTGGGTCATTCTCTCATGTGTCTTCTATTTTAGGAAGATTTTAATGAACTCTTATAAACAACTTTAGCCTCTTTTGTAAATGAAACTGTAATTAAAATTGCCAGTTATAAGAGCCCTCTATGCAATTGGGTATGTGAACATCTTTGCAGTGAGAAATGGTGAAACCTTGGGATTAATAAGTCTCTTTACTGTACGGGTCCAGAGGCCATCACAAAAGTAAGACCGAAAGAGAATTACATGCTAGTGTGGTAATCATGAGTTAGCCAAAGATCAAAGATATCAGAAAAAGGAAAATTACCCAAAGAAAAAGTCATGTATGCAACAGCACTCTTTAAATTGTGCATCCTTTTACTATTTTCCCTAAAATGTCAAGCATTTGCTAATACCTTTCTTCTAATAGTACAGGCAAAATGAGAAAATAAAATTTGTTTTCAAGATACTAAGTCTGAACCAAGAAAATATAACCTTTATTGGAATACATACCACTAGCTTTGTTGTGTGACTGCATAATATATCTCAGAAAAGAGTACCTGCAACCTTTTTTCATAGCATTGGCTGCTAAGTGTGTGCAGATGATTGACTCTTACTGTTGTTTCAGACCAATTTTAACACTGTTTTAACAAGAGAGAAAATGAGGAAAGAAAACATAATAAATGATCTCAGTGATAAATTAAAAAGTACAATGCAGCAACAAGAGCGTGATAAAGGTTAGTGGTGTTTTATAATATGATTTTAAAAATTTTTTGTAAAGCACTTATTTATTATTAAGTAATACTTCTTTAACTTGGGGTCTTAGATTTGATAGAGTCCCTTTCTGAAGACCGAGCTCGTTTGCTTGAAGAGAAGAAGAAGCTTGAAGAGGAAGTGAGCAAATTGCGCACCAGCGGTTTCCTTCCCTCGGCCTCTGCAGCTGCTGAGCCAGAGCTCTATGGGGCCTGTGCACCTGAGCTGCCTGGGGAGACAGAGAGAGCAGCCACGGAGATAGCTGATGAAGGAAGGGTGGACTCAGCGATGGAGACAAGCATGATGTCTGTCCAGTAAGCAGCTCTGTCTTCCACTGTGTTCATCACGGCCACACTGGGCCTGAGCCTGCTGTCACAGGCGGCTAATCTCAGCCTTGAAGGATGCCGAGGCAGGCAGATCACAGGGGAAAGCTCCATGTTCAAGGCCACAGTACACAGTTTAGTTGAGGCTCTGTTTTAAAACTACAGAACAAGCAAACAAAAAAGGAAATATTCTCTAATATTTTTTTGTTTTGTGATAATGGAGTTTCTTTGTTTAAAAGCTCTGGCTTTGCAAACCAGGCTGACCTTGAACTCAGAGATCCACCTGCCTCTTTACCTTACTAATTGTTCTCAGCCCGTGTAAAAGTGTGATTTTAAAAAGGACAAAGTAAAAGACACTAAGAGAATGTTGAAATTAGAAGTCATAAATGATACAAATTAGTCCAGAGTGGAAACAACCTGCAGGGGGAAATAAACCTAACTATATTCTATATACAGGAGAGGCAGTTAAAACAATGTAGAAAGCTCAGTGTAAGGCCAGGCACATGAGAGCATTTATCTAGTATTCCCAGTGTGATGGTGGTGGCATGGGGGACAGAGACTGGCAGATCTCGAGCTCATTGGCCAGCAGAATTATTGAACTCCAGGGTCAATGAGAAAAGTCAAAAAATGGTAGCAAGCCCTCTCAACGAAGACTCCAATGCTGACCTGTGGTCTTCATACATACGCGCACACACACACATGCATAGACCACACATACACACCCAAAATAAGGTACAGTCACCATAATATTTGCAGAGAGCTATATTGCATCATATACATTTCTTTGGAAATGAATTGAGTGAGATAAAAACGTATTTAATATCTGGGAAAGTATGGATTTTTGAAGAAATTCTCTATATAAAAAGGTATGCAAAGTTTTGCTTATTATTTTAGGAAGTATCTGAGTTTACATACAGATTAATAGCTATTCTGATCTATATGGGTTACTTTTGAAAAATTTAGTACAAGTTCTTATTCTACTAAAGTTATCTGAATTGGTAGTAGTATTTAAGTTTCTAGATTTTTTTTATTTTTTGAGACTGGGTTACTTCAGACTGTCCTGGCACTGTGTAAACCAAGCTGACCTTGAACTCACAGAAATTCACCTATTTGCCTCCTGCGTTACCACACCTGGCTAAACTTCTAAAATTCTGTTTGATTGTCTGATTCAAAGTTTTAAAGTTCTTAAACTTTATTAACAAATATCCTCCCACTTTCAGAGAAAACACGCTATCCGAAGAGAAGCAGAGGATCATGCTTCTAGAGCGGGTGAGCAGACGTTCTGTGCAGTGCTTGTCTAATATGACGACAAGTACAAAATAAAAAGACTCAAATGTTTTTCTTTCTGAGACCAGTACATTTTGAGGTGCTGTATGAATTAAATATTTTGTTATTGTCTTTTGTCATTTGTTCTCCATTACCAGTTAGCAATTGGGTCAGGGAATGTCATCTATAGAGTCAGAAAAGAGCATACATTTTATTAATGACAGCCCAGGAATCAACAGTGATTAACCAATAGATTAAGAATTTCATTACATTTGCTTTTTAAAAAAGATTTTCTTTTTTGAGATGAGCAAGAATATAAGAAAATTAATAAATATTCAAGTAATAAAGTTTTTAATAAATATTAATTAAAGCAAAGAAGACAAGTTGGCAGTAAGGGAATTCCTGTTGCAAACAAAATTGTATATACAAACTCACAGAAACACATAGACATGAATACATAAATAAAAAGATAAAAATTGGACAGTTTTTATGAATCAAAAGTACTTTGAAAAGAGCACGAACTCTTCCATGACTAGTTTCATTCTTGGCATCATAAAGTTTCTTACCAGTGCCTTCATTCTTTACAAGCTTAGATGCGTGACAGTAACCCAAGGTCAGGCCGTCTCATCTTATTCAAATGATTCAGCCATCTTTCCTTTTTGTTTAGCTTAGAATCACACAGCATGTAGTAATACACTGTAATGCAGGCTCCACCTCTGAACTAGAGAATCTTTTCTGATAAGTGCAGATATTATTGTGTGTTTAAAATTCCACAGCTAATGACAAAATTTTGAAAACTTGAGAAAGCAAGTCTTGGGACAGTGTAGCCAGTGTTGTCATTCTCATAAAGTGATTAGTGATGAGAACAGTTAAAGTCTCTGGACATACATACACACAGTGTAAAGATGAGAACCTTGCTAGCTGTTCCGGTTAAACCATGGCTCTCTCTTGCTCTCTCTCCCTGCAGACGTTGCAGCTGAAAGAAGAAGAAAACAAGCGGTTAAATCAGAGGCTGGTAAGAGTCTCTGGTTCTGTCTTTTTCAAAACTGTTCAGTTTCTATCTTTTTAAATGTATTTATTTATTATGTATACAGTGTTCTGCCTGCCTGTATGCCCACGGGTCTGAAGAGGGCACCAGATCTTATTACAGATGGTTGTGAGTCACCATGTAGTTGCTGGGAATTGAACTCAGGGCCTCTGGAAGAGCAGCCAGTGCTCTTGACCTTTGAGCCATCTCTCCAGCCCTCAGTTTCTATAAAGTTATAGACATCTTCCACCAATTTTTAAAACACACTTAAACAGGAAGGGAGCATATGTGCCACCATGGCTTGAGTACAGAAATCAGAGGACAACTTCACAAAATACGTTCTGTGACCATTGGGCTTGGGGATTGAACTCAGGTCATCAGGCTTATTTTACTTTATTTTACATCAATCATATTACATCAATCATATTTTACTTTATTTCTCCCTAAATCAGATTGTGTTCCTTGCACTTAAAACAATTTTTTATACATATCACAATACATACATGGTTGTACAAGGTTAACTTTTAGAAGTTGGTTCTCTCCTTCCACCATGGTCCCAAGGCTTATGCTACAAGCGCTTTTACCAATTAACCATTTCTACTGGCCCCTGCAATTGATTATTTTAATAGGTAACAGTGAGCCGACTGTAGTGACACATACCATTAATTCCAGCACTCAGAAGGCAGAGGGAGGCAAATCTCTGAGTCATGGGCCAGCCTAGTTTACATAGAAAGTGTCCCTTCTCCTGGGGCTATAAAGAAAGAAGCTGTCTCAGAAACAATTAACTATCCATGTAATCCCTGTGCTCGGGAGGCAGTTGTATCTCTGTGAGTTCCAGGACAGCTAGGGCTACACAGAGAATCTCTGTGATATGTCAAGAAACAAAAGTAAATGTAGTAGTGAAGCATATCCTCTCTTTTCCTTTGTTTTTGAGACAGCATCTCTTTCTAGTTGCATGCAGTGCATAGTCCTAGCTCCAGAGTTTAGTAATTCCAGCAAGACTTTTTACCACCATTGAAAGCCTCTCTTTTTTTTTTCTTTTGTCAATATACAAACAACAAAAATTAGATGTTCTATACCTATAGACTACAAATTAAGGCTTTAAAAATATTATCCAATACATTTTTTAATATAGTGTCCCCAAGGGAAAATAAGCCCCATTTGGCTGAGATTTTACTAATATTTTGTTGTTTTGTTTTCATAGAACAATAGGGTTTAAGAACCATTTTTAAGCTGCTTTGTTCTAGCATGTAGGATAGTAGTAACAAGAGAAACAGATACTCCCACATGAGCTAGCACATGCATCCATACCTGGTTTCTAGAGAAGTGTGCTTTCCCACTATCTTCACACAGAAGTATTTATATGTTGTTCTCCACACTTAGAGCCTTATTTATAGAGTGAACCTGTGTAAGACTGAACTTCACTGGTAGAATATATGTCATTTTTCTGGTTAATTTTATCAAATCTCTGCAAGATGTGAGGCCTTCCTAGTCAGTGAACTTCCTCGTTCTCTAAGCTCTGCTCTGTACCAGATAGTATTTGGAAGGGAATGAATGAAGTTGGTACACCAAGTTTAGATTTCATTGTTGACTTATTCCTGAATGTAAATATTACTTAAGTGTGGTCTTTTCAGCTTGAATGTTTCTGGGGAGTGTGTTATTTTAGATGTGTGCAGCTCATGCGTGATTCCTTCTTTTGTCCCAGATGTCTCAGAGCATGTCCTCAGTGTCTTCAAGGCATTCTGAAAAAATAGCCATTCGAGAGTAAGTATTTAATTTTTATTTTGTGAGTTTTGAATCAAATTATTAGTTAGTGAAGACGTTGTCATCACAGTGATCATTTAGACCATGCTGAGTGCCTTGTGTCAAAGCTCATTGGAAAACAAGGGTTTTCACAATTATCCTGGAGCCCTGCGCATTGTGTTCTGGGTCATTAACGTTGTGTCATTGGCATAAAATGCTTGCAGCATTTCTTGTACTGGCTAATACCTGAGCTGCCTTCTGCTCTGAAAAAAACTTCCTTAGTCCTCGTTTGACATTATAGCTTATCTGGTACAAATTAATCTAACCTGTTGAAGTAGTTGTTTCTCCTGTGGGTTGTCTGGCAGGAGCTTCAGAGTAATAAAGAAAAGCAGCATAGCTGCTCGTGAAGCCTGGCCTGTTGTTCAGAATTGCTGAACTTTTAAACATTTATTTGGTTTTTTTACAAGGTAGCCCAGGCTGGTCTGACCCACACACACCATCTTCTTGAATTGTTTCCTCAGATGTTAGGATGAAAGGAGTGGATCCTAGGGCCCAGCTTCTGAATTAAATGTTTGTGAAGACCTTGATTGTACTTACAATAGATTTTTGTTGTTAATTGGTTTGAGATTTTTTGTTTGTTTGTTTACTTTTTTATGGTTCTTAGATATCTGTTCTGGCCCTGGCATCTGTTTTATCTTCTGTTAGTGATGAAATGTCAGGATGGCTCTCTGTACTTAACTAGCTGTGAATCAAATCATTGCTATTTGGAAGATGAGATGAGCTTAATATAACTGGCTCAGAAGCTTAATATTTAAGCTTTTGCAGTTCACTCAAACAGTGCTTACCCCATCGTTGCAGCAGTATTTCAGACTCTTCTTACAATATGCTTATGTCATCGCCTGTCGCCTTAGTGCTGAGAAAGTGAAGACCAGAGATAGTTGCCTGCAAGTCAAAGGCCAGCCTGGATCACATAGCAAGAGCCTGTCTCAAAAATAGGAAAGAGGGGACTGGAGAGATGGCTCAACCATAAAGGGCTATGCTCACAACAAGAAAAGAGAAGGAGAGAAAGCTTAACTGATTTGTCAGGTAGAGAACCTAACACATAAGATTACCCTGACAACTAAAATCTGAGGCTCTCTCTAGAACCCATTAATATTTTGAGCACAATTTGACAGGTAGACACTAGTAAGTGCATGTAAGCAGTTGCAACTTCATTTTCATAGGTTCTTTAAGGTTTATACTGAGGCTTTCTGAGACCTACCTGAACACATGGACTTAATTCAGTTGCTTTTTCTTTTAGAATAAAGAGTGTCAGGCTGTTTTCTTTGTATAAAATGAAAGATTACGGAGGGAAACTTATCCCGTGGCTAAATATTTCTCCTACCTGATAAAAATGTGGTCGTTTTTTCTCTTTTTTAATTAGATAATGAAAATTTTATTAAGAAAATTTTTGGTTTTTAAAAGTTTCTGGCTGTTGATTTGAACATCTGTACAATTAAATGCAAGGGACTTATGGGGGCCTTCAAGTCATCCCAATGGGTGTACATCACAGGATGCGTGTGAAGGTTAGGGAACAGTCTGCAGATTTCTCCCACCATTGGGTTCTAGTAACTGAGCTCAGGACATCAAATCTGTGAAAAGATTCCTTTGCCCATTGTGACAGCTTCCCACCCTCTCCAATCTCTTCTATTTTATTGTACAGTATTTGTGTATGCATCCTATCTACTTTAAATTATCTCTAGATTGCTTGTAACACCTAATGCAAATGCAGTACTAATAGCTTTAACCTGTACCACTTAGTGTATTGACAAAGGGAGGTTGTGTGAGCATCTCCGTGGTCAGCAGACACTGACCTCTTTCCATAGCAGTTACACCTGGACAGCTGAATCCGGTGGATATAGAACCCACAGATTCAGAGCCAGCTGGATACTATGAAGTTTGCATCACATGTGATAAACTCTCTCTAGGACAGTAACCTTCCTCTCCTTAGTTTTCAGGTGGGAGATTTGGTTCTCATCATCCTAGATGAACGGCATGACAATTATGTGTTGTTTACTGTTAGTCCTACTTTGTATTTTCTGCATTCAGAGTCTCTTCCTGCCCTGGACCTCAAACCAGGTGAGGGAGGTAAGTGTCACATACAGTTCTTGAGTGGAGGATATATATAGTCTCATGTTGTGTATTATATACACAAAGTAAGTCATTTGGAGGAAATATTGTTCACTTTTTGTTACAAAATCTACATTAGTTACATAAGTTTTATGGACTTAATAAATCTAAAATTTATTGTAGTGCTCTCCAGCGGATCAACTGATCAAATGGTATACATATTCAAACATGATATAAGTGAGAATTCTCATGTTCATTCTGTTGACAATTAGCATATGGTTAATTTAATTTGTTTCCTATGTATATTTCTAAACATGTAAATCTGGAAATGTGCACAGCTACTATAATTCTGAAAGAAAGGGCTTGCCTCCTCATTAGGTGTCCTGTACTGTCCACCATTCTTGGTCTCTCTGCACAGGAAGTCCACTTCAGGATTTAATTTGGTTTTTCATTATTAATTGCTTACTGAATCCCAATTGTTTTGACATTGCTGTGCTAGGCACTGTGGTTGCAGGTTCCCATCCACACTGAAGGACAGAAATCTGTTTTCACTTGGACGCTAGAATTGTATTACCACTTTGAGAAGTAGAGGTCATCATAATAGTTCCTTCAGTAGGTGGCAGTGTCGAGTTAATTATTTGCTCATGATATCCACCTAGTTTGCCAGTGTTCCTTGAGGGGAGTATCACTTTTTGAGGGAGTAGCACCCATATATTTGCATGTTGGAAAGTGCAGCAGATTGTTTTTTCAGTAAATAAAAAAGTTAGTTTTAGTAATTTCAATGCTTTTTAGAGTATTGAATGTTCTTGAGAACACCATTACTATTTTGATTCTGCAGTTCTTTTTTTCCCATGAACTTTGAAGAGTAAATTAACAATTTATTCACTAGCTTCAGGTACATCTCGACGACCCTGGGTCCTTGGAAAAGTAATGGAAAAGGAATATTGTCAAGCCAAAAAGGTAAAAACTATATAGTTTATAGCTTTTAACTATAGTTATACCCTGTCATTATACCCTATAACCTAGGGATATTATTGTATGGAAATAGTTACTAGTATTTTGAGATTTTTTGCTAAGTTTAATTAGAGCTTGAGTTTTATTAAATTTAGTTTAAGCCAGAAATCTTGTAGGTATTGCTATTGTGTTTAGGTAGAAGAGATAGATTACAAACATTCCATTCACCTACAAAGCAGAACAGCTAGTGTAACTCATGTTGAAAGCACATTGCATAACTGCAAGCAAAAGTGAATTCTGTGTATAGAGTTAGTCTTTACTCATTGCTGTATGCTACCCCATTGGTGAAAGCTGCTCTCAGGGTTGGAGGTTAAACTGAAATTAACAAGCCAGGATTGGTAGTACACTGTAATCATATCAATTAAGAAGCCATGGCAGAGACAGAAGGATCAATAGTTTTAAGCCATTCCGGGTTATGAATATATATGCCTCTAATCCTAACCTTTGGGAGTCTGCAAATTTGAAGCGAGTCTAATCAGCATAGTGAATGCAGGGCATCAAGGGTATATAGTAAGACTGCATTAGAGAGAGGAGGAGTTACAGCACCCCCACCCTCCATGCCAATATTAGTTACCCAGGATATTCTCACTTGGTCAAGAGCGTTATCCTTTGTAGTCTGTAGTAAAGATTCTACTTTAGGCCCCTCCCCAATATTCTAGCAGTAAGCAGTGCGGTTGAAGGGGACTTGTATAAGTTAATTTAGTCAATGATTTCATTTTTTTCTTTCCCTCCTAGGCACAAAACAGATTTAAAGTTCCTTTGGGGACAAAGTTTTACAGGGTGAAAGCTGTGTCATGGAATAAGAAAGTATAGCCACAGAAGAAATCTACATCTGATACCATTTTCTGATTTGTCCTCCAGTGCTAATAAATCACTCAACTGGCCATCCTGTTTTTACAAAAGTCAACACAACAGTATACTTCATTGGTGATCTGCACATTTAAGTGGATACATCTTAAGAACAATAAATTCATCAAAATTCTTGGCTGAATCGAAATGGTTTTGTTTTGTTTCCACACAAATAACTAGAAATGCGGACCAAACTAGTTAATTTCTTCAAGGGCGGAGCCTGCACTGTGGCTTCTGACTAGCCTCGTTAATTGCCTGCTAATAAACATTAGCTGAATAGATACCAGTGTTGTTGTTACCAGCATCTGTTCTCTTGTGAACTCAAGAGTCCTTTCACTCTTTAACGCATACTTTATAAAATGTATAAATCCTTCCAAACTATTTAAAGAGGAGTGTTACTGCATGCAGATAATCATAATTTTGAGTTTGCCTCAGAAGACTGCTAACGCAAATTCTTTAATTTTTTAAAATGCCCTTTGATGTTTCAAAAAATAAATAACAGTGTAATTTGACTGACTTTAAGATCAGCCATAAATGATGAGCAATCTTCAGAAGCACTCTCCAGACAGCCCATCGTTCTTCTGGGGAAGGAGAGTCTGCACCGCTGAGATTTTCAAATGCAGGACTCAAACGTCTCAGCATCTTAGAACTGTTTCAAATAATCATATTGATGAACTCATAAAGATATTCATTGTACATTAACATATAGAGGTCATTTAAATAACAAAATACTGTATTGTAAAGGACCTGTACAATTTTAAGACAATAAAGAATTGAAAGTGTAAATGTGTGTGCCTTTTGAAGGTTACGTTTCTAATCTATTTGTGTGATTGCTGGGAAGGGTAAAAAATGTCTGTATCAAAGAGAAACATGTTAATTATAAAAATATTGTTTGTATCATATGTAACAGTGAAGTGGTGCTCTCTGGAAGGGAACCCTGTAAAGTCGGGCTTTAGAAGCTGGCACCGCGCTAAGTGTGCTGAAGCAGCTGGTTGATTAGAGAGAATGTCTTCAGGGTTATTGCTAGAGAGCAGTAAGAAATTCTTTTTCAGAAATATTTAATTTCTTCATAAAAATAAGTTGAATATTTTTATAAGTATGTAATCTAATAGAACGAAAATAGAATAAACATAGTGTATAGAATACTGAATTTGACAACATTACTGAATAAATGAACAAATGATTTCATACGTTTCTATTCAATCCTTCGATGACATCTTTATGGAGTAACTACAAGTATATCAGAAATGACTGTATTTTTTTTTAACAATTGTGTTTGTGTCTGAGTCTCAGGCCTTTTTACTTAATGCTCTTCAGATTTAATATATGGTATTATGCTGTAGAATTATTGGAATCATTGCTGTAACACACTAAATTTCTCCTTAATACTGATCTTAATGTTAGTTGTGGTTGTTGATTATTTTTGTTATATGGTGCATTCACATTCATCTTGTCAGTGTTCACACATCTCATAATAAAATGAAAGCTGAGATAATTTTGTTAGAAGAGAAACAAAACATTCCCAAGAAGCTAAATTCATTGAGTCTTAGTTTTGTACAATTCGAAGCAATATGAGCTTTGGAACCAGAATGCATAACTTTCAGTCTCATATGACTTCCATAAACTTACTCCTCATTTGTGCCATGTTTAAAACAGGGTAATGGAACCTACATAATGTAGTTTGCACTTTTAATGCAAATTATAAATATTAGTGATTTAAGCAGTTTTAGGAATGTTCAATACTCAACAAATGTTAACTAATATAAAAGTTTCTTTATACGGACAGTACTGTCATGTGGCAAAAGAAATGTAGCTTTGGTGGGGCCAGATTCAGTTCCAGCATCTCAGGAGGCTGAGGTTGGAGTGCTTGAGCAAAAGGAAGAGCCCATATAAAGAGCAGGTGGGAAAAAGCTTTTTACCATAAACTTTTTGGTTTTCCCAGACAGGCTTTCTCTGTGAAACCCTGGCTGTCCAGGAGCTTGGCTTTGTAGATAAGGATGTCAGATAGTGTTGGCACGTGCCTTTAATCCCAGTACTTGGAAGGAAGAAAGAGGCAGACAGATCCCTGAGTTCAAGACCAACTTGTCAACATAGCCAGAGATTCACAGAGAAAAATGCATGTTATATGTAACAGCAATTTGTAATAATAAAAGGACTATATTTGACTGACTCATGCCTATAAATCAAGCATCTCAAACATCTGAAGAGGATCCAAAATTTAAAGCCAACCTGCGCTCTAAGACTCTGTCTCTGAGAAAAATAAACGCAGTGTACAGAACTCTTACAGTTGTACTGTTTTGAAATAGTGAATAAGGTATCTGAGATGCTTCATCCAGCGACTGATGAAAACATGCAAACTCACAGCCAAAAATTAGGATGAACCCAGTGAATCCTGCAGAAGGGGGGAAGGATTGTAGGAGTCAGAGGGGTCAAGGACAACACAAAGCCCACAGTATTAACTAACCTTGGCTTACAGGGGATCACAGACTGAACCAACAACCTGCAGTCTGTGGAGCCTGCAGGGGAATTGCCTAGACCCTTTGCATATATGTTAGAGTTGAGTGCTTTGGTCTTCTTATGGGACTCCTAACAGTGGGAGCAGGGGCTGTCTCTGATGCTAAACTGGATTTAGGATCCTCTTCATCATACTGTGTTGCCTTGCTCAGCCTTAATATAAGGGAAGGTGTTTAGTCCTACTGTATCGTGATATACCATATTATGTTATCCTTGAAGGAACTGCTCTTTCCTGAACAGAAGTGGGAAAGGAGTGGATTGGGATGTGGGGAAGGGTGGAACTGAGTGGAGGGAGGGAAACTATGGCCAGGATGTTAGATAAATGACAACAAACAAGGTATAAAAGATTTTTAAAAAATAGCCTCTAATTTTTCATAGTTTACTTTTGCTTTTGAAACACGAACTCTTTATATCCCTGACTGTCCTGTAACTCACCATGTAAACCAGGCTGGCCTCAGACTCACAGAGGTTCACCTGCCTTCCAAATGCTGGGCTTCATGCCTGGATAATGTGAATTTCTATGTCCCCTTCATTGTTTCCTTGGTCTTTAACATATAATTTTATATTGTAAGTGTTCCTTAAGAGTCTGTTCCCGCAAATTTACTTGCTCCTTAAAATAAGAGTAAGATATTAAGATCTGATTGTGAACTATATTTACCTATCAGCTGTGAAAATGGACATGACCAAGGCACCTTACAGAAGAAAGGTTGGTGGTTTCTGGCTTCAGAAGAATACTAGTCCATGGTAACAGAGCAGAGGTGGCAAATGGCACTTAGCTAGCTGAGCAGCTTCTGAGATTTCACATCTGAACTGTCTTTTACATTACCAAGTTCAATTCCATGAGGATAGCATTGGACCTTCTGGATCACAGCTTCTGTCTTGATCCCGAGGAAACATTTTCTAGAAGAGTTTACCTCCATGATGCTGGCCCCTTTTTAATCGCAACTGATTCTTGTACCTCAACTGGCCAGTATTGACTTGTTGCAGCAAAGCCAAGATTTCATTTTAGTGCATCTGGGTCACAGTCTCAGCTGACCAAACACCACAGATTCTTAAACTTCTGATACTGAACAAGCCAAGACCATGTCATCTGCCCTGCTTCCATCTTCTAAGCTCTCACAACAGCCCAGAGTCCCAAGGTCCTTCCACAATACTAGCAAAACATGGGCGGGTCTGTCCCGCAATATCCCACAAACCTGCCGTTAACTTCTGCCTTCATTTTCTATTACATAGTTTCTATTACTGTGTTCAAACACTGTGACCGAAAGTAATGTGGGGAGCAAAGGATTTCGTCTTAACTCTCACAGGTCATACTCCATAACTGAAGGAAGTCAGGGCACAAACTGAAACAGACCATAGAACAGTGCTGCTTACTAGCTTGCTCCCCACAGCCTGTTCACCCTGTTTTCTGATAGAACTCAGGACTACCTACCCAAGGGTGGTATCCCTCCTCCTAATCTGGCCCTTCCACTTCAATCATTAATTCAGGAAAGGCCCTACTTGCTTTCCCAAAGACAACCAATGGAAACTTCTCAATTGAAGTTCCTCTTCACGTACAATTCTAGCTTGTGATAAACTTAGTTAACATTACATTTATTTGATGGTGGTGGGGTGACCATTAGGATTTTGATACAGATTACATTGAATATGTCAATCACCAGTGGAGTATTGCCTATTCGGTAGTATTATTTCTGTTAAACCATAAAGGAGGTTCTTTTTCCATCTTGTCAGTTCTCAGAATTTTACCATTTTGGTATGCAAGTCCTTCCCTAGGCACTTTATTCTTAGATGTTTCAGTGTTGCCTGATGCCACTGTTTTGTCACGTTTCACTAATGTTCATTTGTTGCTCTTATATCCTGAAACTTAAGTGTTTGCTTTACTCTTGGGCTGTTAAGGCTTTTGTGGAGAGAAGGGGAGATGTTAAGACTTTTGTGTCACCTGTCAGTATAGCTCCACTTCTTTGTGTCACCGGTCAGTATAGCTCCACTTCTTTGGGCGCCTTTCTAGAACATCCATACTTTGTCATGTAGATTTGAAAATGGGCACCCGTGACTCGTTTATGGTGAAAAAGCATTGCCCATCACCATTATCATGTTAGGTGAGTCAACAGTTGTAGGGGTCGCTTTCTCTAGCTCAGCAAACTGACTTAACAGTGACATCTTAACAGAGTCTCACAGAGATTTTTATGTTCATCTCTACCACACAACATCCATACTCAAAATCTTCAGCTTGTTGAGCACAGTTCTGAGTAGTATAATAACTGCTTTATTTCAGCTAAGTTACTCTCAAAGACTGAACATTTTAGGATTTGTTTCCTCTGTTTTATCTTGCATCACCAAAACAGCTAAAAATACGCCAACTGACATGCTTTGAGAATGTCCTGACAACCTTGGCAAGCATGGCAGGCAGCTTTGCTAGTGTGGCCAATGGTTTTTGCTGTTTTTAGACAGAAGTCTCCACATTTGTAGCCTCCAACAGCATTTTCTCTACCATTTTCTCTATTACAGCAGTATGTTCTGAATATTTGTTTCATCCGCATCTTTCTGTTGAAACTTCTGTGTGTTGTGTGACTGATCATTTTAAGACTTTGTTGCCTAAGATAACAAAATTTATTTGCACATTTGGCTCTAGAAGTGTTTTGAGGACTGGGGCTGAGTAGTCTATATGGTGATGTCCTCACAGATTAGATTTAGGAATGCCTTGTGTAGCCCCTTTGAAAACTAATGCTTCCAAAAAGGCATTATAGTAAGCATGTCAACACAAATCAGAGGACTGGTCACATTCTTGGTCAAAGTCAGACCCCACACAGAGTTAACATGTAGGGATAGCTTCGGGGGTCTAAAATTACATTCTTTTTTTTTTTAAAAAAATAGGTAGGCTTGAAATAGCTGTTGTCCTTTAATATTTAGACAGATTTACATATATCATTGGGCTTTTAAAAATACGCAGGTTGGGAATACATCTTAGTTGGACTGCTTGCTCATCTGAAGGTTTTGGGTTTGGTCTTCAGCACCACAAGAGCAAAAATCATGTGAGTGAATGTGGACTAAAATCAAGCGATGTTGGTAAAGCTTAATCGTTATAAATTTACCTATCTTAATTATTCAAAATTAGGAAACATGACTTATTAATGCCTACTTATCGGTAGCTCTTATGTTCATCATACTCTCACTAAGTTGTCTTTAGCCAAAATTTTTAAGTAGTTTAATTTATAATCTTTATGGATGAGATGGAAATTGTTGCAAGCAGTTCTTAACATAGTGGTCAAGAGATGAAGCAGTCAGCTCTAAACTATGTGGTTTACATACTTCTTGGGTGTCTCAGACTTGGCAGTCAATTAGAGTAAGCAATGCCCCGTTCTTTCATTTCTACCTTAAAGTTACTAGCAATGGTGTTTCCAATGTTAAGAAAAGGTGGCACCCCTCAAGGTAAATGCAGGTTCCACTTTTCATTTAATCTCAGATCTAAGCAGCAAAACATGTGTCCTATTAGAGTGCAGTCCAGGGCTGTGTTGCTATAGAGAGGATGCACCCCTTGGAAACACTGCTGATTTCTTTTTCCGCGCCCATCACCACTTATGTCTGTACTTGAAGTTGCTCTGAACTTTTCATTTTGACCATTTTAGGGGATTCCAGTGGTTTCCATGGCTCTTAACAGCTTTTTGTTTTGTGTTGTTTTGTTTTGCTTCACAAATGTTAGGGTATATTTCAGAACTCTGGTTTTGTGGTACCTAAAAAAGTAGCTTCTGACAATCTGATCTCAAAATGATGTTGTAATCTTTCTTCTTAACTGCTTTAGAAATGTCATCATCCAATTCCAGTAGAGCTGGAGAGCTTGTGTTGTTGGTCTTACTTGTAATCTCTCTGGAATTCTGCTTTGCCAGTGAATGTGACCTTAACTAGCCCAGGAGATGAACGTGAATGCTTATGTTTTAAGTTCTCTGAAAATGTATAGCCTGTCTCACAAGCATAAACTGTCTACATTCTCATCATATTCTGCCATCCTGGATTGTATATTTGTTTCCATATGCATCATCTTTCAGTATAGCCCTGGAGGCCTATTACTGCCTTTAAAGCAGGCTTGAGTTTCCTAATAGAAATTCATATTTTCCCCTTCTGCCATCATCCACTTAATAGCTGTTTCACAGAAGTACCGCATTCTCGTGACTGTTCCCATTTAGCTTCAGTCAAGGGGGTGGAGGTGAGAGCAGCGTTTGTGGATCTTGACAGGGTTCTTTCCTCCGAAAACCTCCAGCAGAGGGCTTGCCTTAAGTCATGAAAGCAATGCACATATTTGCGAATACAGTGAGATCTGCAACTTGATATGGCACGACTGGCCAGTACCCATGAGGCCTGCCTGTAGACGGTGGAAGAGGAGGGGGTTGGGTGAGGTTGGGGTGGGGTGGGGGACTGAGGAGAGGAGGGAGGGGGCGGTGGTAGTGCACTCCCATAATCCTAGCACTAGAGGCAGAGGCAGGTAGATCTCGGTAGTTCAAGGCCAGTCTGGTCTACAAAATGAGTTCAAGGACAGCCAGGGGTGCTACACAGAGAAAGAGAAACCCTGTCTCAAAACAAACCAATAAATAAATAAATAAATAAAAAACGTAGTGAGATGTCCTAGAAGTAACAGTGTCCTACTAAATAAAACTG